TAGCGCCTCGTCAGGTCGTCGAGACGTCTCAAAGCGCTTCACAGAATAGACTGTCAAGTGCGGGAATCGTGTGTTTTGCGAGGGGGGGGCGCGGTAGCCAATTGCGCCCAGCGACGTCCCCCAAAGGGTCGAAGATCGAGTGGACCAAATTATTTCTTGGGATTATCATGGTCTCCCCCCCACCCCCCGAAAGACATATCCATCCGCCAATCGACTGAGAAGCGGGAATGGGGGAGGAGGAGAGGTGGGGTTGGGGAGTGTGGGGGGGAGGGTCCGGGGGCGAAACAGGTTTCCTTCCATCTCTCAGTCTCCGCTCTCTTCGTCCTCGGAGGATTCGCTCTGGTTTTCCTCTTCCTCAATGATGTCTTCTTCAATGATGTCCTCCACATCGCACTCCATCAGGCTGCCCTGGGACAGGCAGGTGGCCACGGTAGAGCCCGTGCTGTGGTGCTCTGGGCTGGCGTAGACCACCCTCGCCAGCCCCCTCCTCTGCCGGCTCCGTGGGTGGACGCAAAAGGTCCCCAGCACATGTGGCTCTGTGCAGGGGCGCGAGAGAGAGAGAGAGAGAGAGAGAGAGAGAGAGAGGGCGAGATCAAGCTCTGGGCGTCAAGGCTGGGCAGGGTTACATCACCGCGCAGCAATGCAGGAAGTGACCTCAACATGAAGTGATCGAGAGAGGAAGTGACCTCGACGTGAAGTGATCTGCTGACGGCAACAAACTTGATACAGCGGCATTCACGGTGGGCGAGCGCCTCAGAGCGCTTGACACGGGCAGGGAAGGGTTAAGGACGAGGCGGGGGCGACTGACCTTTGCGGTTGTAGCAGTCCTCGGCACAGCAGCTGTGAGGCCTGCGGGAGCGGGGGCCCTGGCTCTTTCTCGGGGGGAGGATGCGGGTGGGGGTCACCGCAGCGTTACAGGAGTAACACGGGGCTGGCAAGTGCATCTGTCCGAAGCCCCTGAAATCACACACACACACAGAGAGAGAGAGACGGAGTCAACGTTGCTCATAGAGACAACAAACACGGGGAGAAGGGTGGAGGGGGGAGACACTAAGGGTTAACGCCGCATGCCAGCCACACCAAAACAACCCAGATCATGCGTGACCGGTGCCGCATCACGGCTCAGGACATTACCCGAAGACGTTCCCGCATTGCTGACAGTGGAACTCGGCGTAACCCCACAGCTTGTCCGCCGGCACCGGATCGTATTTCTTCTTACATTTCCTACACCTGGAAACCTGCGGAGAGACAGAGAGAGAGAGAGAGAGAGAGAGAGAGAGCGCAGGGATCAACACCCACCACAACCACCACCACAACAACCACAACACCCACCACAACCACCACCACAACAACCACCACAGCAACAACAACCATTATTAATAGTAATAGTATTAATCCTTGCATTTGATACAGCGCCTTATCACGTCTACAAGGTATACTGTAGAGTGAATTGACTGTGAGTTTTGTGGGCAAAACACGGCAGCCAATTGCACACAGCGACGTCCCACAAACAGTCGTGGATTGAAGTGACCCAATTTATTATTTTCCTTGTTTGTTGTTTTGAACGGATTATGATCCCCAGAAAAGCAATCCGCAGAGGTGTGTGTATGGAGTAAGGAAACTTGTCTAATGTTTTGCTCTGCCCGGGGACACTATATGTTGAATGCTATTTCAGTGTCCCTCAAGCAGTCGTGGATTGACTGAACAAATTATCATTATTTTTTAAATTTATGGGATTATTACCCCCCGGAAAAGCGATCTACCGATCGACTAACAACCAAATTATTATTATTATCATAGAATTATCCTGTGAAGCGCTTTGAGACGTCTCGAAGATATGATAAGGCACTGTATCGAATCTAAGGATTATTATTATTATTATTATTATTATTACCTGTTTTCTCTCAGGAACTCTTCGCCACCAGAAGCGGTCACATCTCTGGCAGCTGAACTGACAATCTCTCCACGGAATCAAAGCATCGTTAGTCCGGTTGAACAGCACCAGGTTTGCCTTCGTCAATCTCTGACCCAATTTCTTCACGGTGGGGAGAGAGGGGCAGAGGAGAACAAGACACATAGAACTGTCAGTCAGGATGCCTTGCCCCCAGTTGAAGTCTCCCCTCCCCTCATCACCCCCTTTTTTCATTTGGACGCTTCATTGCTCTTCGATTATTATCCCCAGAAAAGTGATCCATCCGCCAATTGATTAACTACCGGGGTTCCTACTTATTGGTGGGTAAACAGAGACGTGTCTGTGTGTGCGTGTGGAGTAAGGATGGCCTGGTCGAAGAGGAGGGTCTTGAGGCGGGACTTGGAGGAGGCTAAGGAGGGGTGAGGCGGAGTGACTGGGGGAATGGACTTCCAGAGGTTGGGGGCAGAGTGGCTGAAGGCTCTCCCGCCAATGGTGGGTCGGGTGGGTCGGGGACGTGGAGCAGCCAGAGCCGGCTGAGCGGAGGGAGCGGGCGGGTTGGTAGGGGGTTAGGAGGTCACAGAGGTAGGGTGGGGCGAGGCCATGGAGGGATTTGTAGGTGAGGAACAGGATCTTGAACTGGATCCTCTGAAGGATAGGGAGCCAATGGAGTCGGGCGAGAGTGGGGGAGATGGGGTCACGGAGTTTGGTGCGGGAGAGGACATGAGCTGCAGAGTTCTGGATGATCTGCAGCTGTGGAGGGAGGAGTTGGGAAGGCCGACAAGCAGGGCGTTTGCGTAGTCGAGCCTGCATAGTCACGCCCTTAATGCTCATTCCCTTCCCAAAAGACGGCTACATTGCAGAAGCTTTAATTAACCATTCCGATACCGCTCCAGGACTCTAACCTGCGTGAAAGGCACTGGGTGATTGAATGTAACTTGTTGTTGTTGTTATTATTGCTGTTAGCGGATACAATCCACCCACTAAGCCTGTACGGCTGTGCTAATTAATAGCACTTGACTGAGGAAATAAGAATCATAGAATCATAGAATTACACAGCACAGAAGGAGGCCATTCGGCCCATCGTGTCTTTGAAAAGAGCTATCACACTCCCCCGCTCTCTCTCCCCATAGCTCGTCCTCCCCAAGGTAGTTTGACTAAAGAATATAATACTTTGCAAAATATATAACACTTTGCGATATAAAAACACTTCTGATGTATGAAAGAACAGAACGCTGTGTCTGTTCTGACTGCCCTCGTCTTGGGCTCAGGCTCCCGATAACGAGGCCTCAAAAATAACACGGCCTTGAATTGAGCATAAGGAAAGCAAGTGGGTTACAAGTGGAGCCCTGTAGCTCAGTGGTTAGAGCGCTCGCCTCGCGAACGATAGACCCGGGTTCGATTCCCAGGCGGTGAAACGTTGGGCAAGTTTCCTTACTCCACACACACCCACACACGCGCGCTTTTCCCAGTGTAATAATTCCTTCAAAAAAACTACTACTAATAATAAATTGGTCGTTAAATTCACGACAGTTTGTGAGACGCTGCCGTGCGCCATTTCCCCCACAAAATATACAGTCGATTCACTTTACAGCATATTCCCGTGAAGCGCTTTGAGACGTCTTGACGACGTGGTAATGAGTTGTAATCAAATGCAAGGAATATTAAAGCGTTCTGAGACGCTGTCCGGCGTGGAGGACGCTATATAAATCCAAGTTGTTGTTGTTCTTATTTGTCAAGTATAAGGAAAGCAAGTGGGTAACAAGTCATGAGGACAAAGGGTATGGCTACGGTTGTTTTAATGACTAGGAATTAAAGACATCTCGGCTGGAACAAGTTTGAGGTCAGTTTGTGATTGCTCAATCATCCTCGCCTGGGTGTCTGGGAATATCTGAGGTTTTGAGTTATTGCGGCCTTGAGGAATGATAAGAGATAAAAACCAGAGACAAAGGAAGACGGGGAGACATGAATCGGAACAAAGAAACTCGACTCGGAGTTAAAAAAAAAAGTTTGAAAGCAAGGAGCAACTTTGGAGTAGTTGAAGAAGTTATTGCAGAGGGTCAGTGCTCTTCCCGGTGGATTCAACATCGGTTTTACTATAGTATCTATAGTCTCAGTTTTAAGAATAAATTGGGGCTCGTGGGATCCTGTGGTTAGAGCTCTCGCCTCGCAAGCGAGAGGACCTGGGTTCAATTCCCGGCAGGGCGAAACGTTGGGCAAGTTTCCTTACTCCCCACACACGCCTCTTGTTTACCAGCAGCGAGTAGGAACCCGGTTGTTAGTCGATTGGCGGATCGCTTTTCCGAGGGTAATAATCCCTTCAAAAAAATAGTTAAAATTAATAATAAATTGGTCACTTTAACGACTGCTTGTGGGACACTGCTGTGTGCAATTGGCTGCCGCGTTTCGCCCCCAAAACACACAGAAACTACACTATACAGTATACCCTGTGAAGCGCTGTGAGACGTCTCGAAGATGTGATAAGGCGCCTGTAATGAATTGAGGATTTTTATTAATATTATTATTATTTGTATTGCTTAATGAACTTTGGATTATTGTACAATATGTATTTGGCCGTATTATATCCCAATCTCTTACAGTCCCAGCCCCCCCCCCCCCGCCTCGCTCCCCCACACTGACAGACTGATGCGTGTTAGTCCTGGTCACGTGGCTCACCTTAATATCTGAGTCTTCGCTTGGTTCCTCTTGAGCGTTCTGAAATGTAACAGAAACATGGACAGGGGTTTTGATGACTACGGGGGGAAGGGGAAGATGGGGAGGGAGGGGGGGGGGGGGGAAGGAGGAGAAGAAGGGGAAGGGGGAGATGCCAGGCACAATCCAAGATTACAGACGCTCATGTATAATAAAACTGGGTCATTCAATCCACGACTGTTTGTGGGGATGTCGCTGTGCGCAATTGGCTGCCGTGTTTCGCCCACAAACACACGGTCACTACACTTCCCAGTGTGTCCTGCGAAGCACTTTGAGACGTCTCAACGATGTGGTAAGGCGCCGTATCAAATGGGAGGATTATTATAATTATTATTATTTTCCCTCCAGAGCACTCGACCTAACGCAATATTTTTGAACAGATGAGTGGGGGTGTGGTGGGGGGTGGGCAGGGGATTTGGCGGAGGGGAGAGAGGAAACAGGAGAGAGAGAGAGGGGGGGGAAGGGGTGGGGGAGAGGAGGAGGAGGGGGCGTCCACATTGAGTGGCCTCTACCTTTTTCCTGTCTTCTTCGGCGCGGAGAGTGTTGATGACATTCTGGAGGAGTGAACAACAACAACAAGATTACATTCACACGGCGCCGCTCACATCAGGAGGACGTCCCAAGGCGCTGGACGGACAGTCAAGGATTTGGACTCGAGCTGGGGGTTGGGATCAGGAAGGGTGGAGGGTGGGGAGAGTGGGGGTAGGAGGGCGGGGAGGGTGGGGTAGGAGGGGGGGGTAGGAGGGCGGGGAGGGTGGGGGTAGGAGGGTGACAGAAGTCGCGGTTGCTCGAAGAGGAGGTGTCTTGAGACGGTCCTGGAGGAGGCGAGTGAGGGAGCGCGATGGAGATCCACAGGGTGGGGGCAGAGAGGCTGAAGGTTGATGGGGAAGCGGGCTGGACGGGGGTGGGGGTGGGGGGGGCGTGGAGCAAGGAGCAGAGAGAGCGGACAGATTGATGAAGTCGCTGTTATCACTAAAGTAACCCCCCCACCCTCACACCCAACGACCCCACTCTCCCACCCGCCCAGTGGTGTATCAGTTACTCAAAGCCTCTCCTCTGCGTTAACACACCCGCACACACACACACACCCACACACGAGACAGTCCGGGATTCCTATTCAGACAATATTCCGTGTAAGCGCTCCGAGACGCCACACCCACACTCCCCCCACCCCCCGCGAGGGGCGCTATATAAAGGCAAATTGTTGTTGTTGTATTTACCTGAACCACCGGATCATTCTCTATATCTCTCCGATCTTCATCATCCAGTTCTTAAAAGAGATTAAACAGAATCACGTACTCCGTTCCGAACCACAGACGCCTCAAGCGCAGTATAGACTCTCTCAGTGAAGCAGATCTACCGGAATACTACATCAAAGCAATCCTCGCATTTGATACAGCGCCTAATCACATCTTCGAGACGTCTCAAAGGATATACTGTAAAGTGAACTGACTGTATGTTTCGCGGACAAAACGCAGCAGCCAATTGCGCCCAACGACGTCCCCACAAACAGCCGTGGACTGAAGTGACCGATTTATTATCATTATTTTTTTTAAAGGAATTATTACCCTCGGAAAAGCGATCCGTCAGTCGAGTAACAACCGGGTCCCTACTGAACGCTTAGTAAACAGAGGCGTGTGTGTGGAGTAAGGAAACTTGCTCAAGGTTTCGCACTGACGGGAATCGAACCAGGGTCCTCTCCCTTGCGAGGCGAGTGCTCTAATCAGTGAGATCACTCTCTCTCTCACACACACACGGGACTGAACTATCACTATCACTGAACTATCTATCACTGAGGCACATGCACCGACACACAAACACACACATTCATGTACACATACACTCACACGCACCTCTGTACACACTATACGCGCATGCACACACCTGCAAACAGACAAACACACAACCAGAAACACACATGCGCGCGCGGACACACACACACACACACAGACGCACATAAACTTCAAAACAAAACGGTCCCACCGGCTAATTTCGGGCTCACTCCTGGAGCGTGTGTCTCAGCCCCTCCCCACAAGGGCTGTTGCGTTGACACCGATGGTCCTGTTAATCACTTACTGAACACTTTTTGTTCATTGACACTACGTGGCCTTTGTTATCTTTTGACTCATCCAAAGCACCTTTGTCTTGTTCCACACTTTCGCCTCGCTCGATCCCTTCCTTCCTCCGCCTCGCTCCCCCTCTCCACCTCGTAGAGAGAGGTGGATTAATGGGGGGGGGGAGAGGGGTGGGTTGGGGAGGAATAAACTGGTAAACCTTTAGGAATCTGGGGGTTTACAAGCACCTTATTCCTTTGAAACGCCTTGGCACACTCATCAGATAATAATGATAATAATGCTTGCTATTGATACAGCGCCTTATCACATCATTCGAGACATCTCAAAGCGCTTCACAGAATATACTGTAAAGTGTAGTGACTGTTGAGCGACCAAATTATTACCCTCGGAAAAACAATCCGCCAATACACTAACAACCGGGTTCCTACTTACTGCTTGGTAATCAGAAGCGCGTGCGGAGTCAAGAAACGTGCCCAAGGTTGTGCCCTGACTCTCTTGGGAATCGAACCCGGGTCCTCTCGTTTGCGAGGCGGGCGCTCTAACCTCTGCGCTACAAGACTCCACCCACTGTCAAGTGTAGTGACTGTGTCGCCAGGCAGGCAGGCAGGCAGGCGAGAGGGGAACCTTACCATCAGAGGAGTCATTGACCATCAGGACAATGTGTCTGACGACCAGAGAGTAGTTGTTGAAATATTTTCTCATCAGTAGCACGGCTCGTTCCAACAACACCCCTCCAAGTAACGTCTCCCTCAGTCTCCGCACACTCTTCTCCAGCTGTCAGAGGGGGGGGTGATGGGGGGGGACGGGGGAGAAAGAGGAAAAGGGACAAGGTGGGGTTGGCATAGGGGAGGTGAGAGAGAGAGAGAGGATAGGAGGGGGAAAGGGGGGAAGGAGATAAGAGAGGAGAAAGGGGAGAAGAAATAAGAGGGGGAGAAGAAATAAGAGGGGGGGGGAAGGAGAAAGAGATAGGGGGCAAGGGGGGGGGGTTGAGGGGAGTGAGGGGGAGGGGAGTGAGAGGGGGTGTGGGAGGGGGAGAGAGAGAGATGGGGGGGGGGGAGAGAGAGAGAGAGAGAGAAAGAGGAAAAGGGAGAGGAAGAAGGCAACGAGAGAGGCAGAGAGACAGGGAAAGAGGAAGAGAGCAGAGGGAGACAGAGAGAGAGAGAGGAAGACAGAGAGGAAGACAGAGAGGAAGAGAGGGACAGAAAGGGAAAGAGACACAAAACACATGAATCAGTGATGGTGTTTGGGTGACTGACAGACACACAGACACACACACACAGACAGACAGACACAGAGACAGAGACAGACACACAGACAGACACACAGACAGACAGAGACAGACACAGAGCCAAAGGGACAGAAACAGCCACAGCAACAGGTTAACCATCACCTGGACCTTCTCCTGCATCTCCCTGTGGGACATGTTGGCTGATGAAGGCAGACCTGGGTACCTGCTGCTGCCACATTAACACCTCTTCCCCTCTCCTCTCCTCTCCCCACTTCCCCTTTCCCCACAGGTCGGGATGCAATTTCCTGGATAATAAAAACGCCTTTTTTACTTTCACTTTCACTCCCCTGTACCCAGCAGCAGATTCATGTTTAAAGCCATTAAAACTCCTGTGTCTCTCCCTTATCTCTCTGCCCATTGCCCAATGGGTCCCTGGAACAATTTAACCTGTCAGAGCAAACTCTGTGTGTGTGTGTCTCTCTCTCTCTCTCTCTGTGTGTGGCCAAACAACCAGACACTTCAACCTTGTACTTAAACCTAAGCCATGAGAACTGACCACTTATTTACTTATTTATTGAGAATTACTCCTGATAACTCGTCAAAAGGGGGGGGGGGGGTAGGGAATGGCTCAGCGGTGAGTTAGCAGGAGTGGCGGGCGAGTTAGGCGAAGAGGCGCGGGGGGTAGAGGGAGGGTGTGAGAGAGAGAGAGAGATAGAGAAGGGGAAAGAGAGCCACAAGAGAGTTTAAATGGTTAAATACACAGCCGCTCCACTTTAAGGTGTATCCTGTGAAGCGCTTTGGGCTGTTCCCAACCACGTGAATAGGCGTTATGTCGAACGCAAAGATTATTATCTGCAAACGTGGCCGGGGTATTGATGGCGTGACGATTGAAGCGGTCGGTAACGAGTCAAGTCAGAGTCGAGTTACCCGTTTACCGTATTTATAATAATAATACTCCGTGCGTTTGATGCAGCGCCTTATCACGTCTCAAAGCTCTTCGCGGGACACACTGTACAGTGTATTTCGTGAGCGAAACGCGGCAGCCGGTTGCGTACAGCGACGTCCACGCAAACAGACGTGGATTGAGCGATCGCATTTTTCTTTTGGAGGAATTATTAGCTCAGGGAAGCGATCCGACAATCGACTAACAATTGGGTTTCCACTCACTGCTGCGTAAACAGAGGCGCGTGTGCGTAGAGAAAGGAAACTTGCCCGACGTTTCGCTCTGCCCGGGAATTGAACCCAGGTCTCTCACTAGCGAGGCGAGCGCTCTAAATAATTTACGCTGATAAAGTGACTTTCACGTCAGGAGGACATGCCAAAGCCACTTGGATACAACGCTTAAACCGTAACACTGCAAAGGAGAGCGACTGTGTATTTGCAGGCGAACGCGGTAGTCGATTTACGCGCAGCAACGTCCCAACTGGGAATCGAACAGCCGTGAAGTGATCGATCGATCGATTTACCTGGAGAATCATCAGTCAGGACACCAGGAGGGAAAAAGGTCCTCTTTTCAAACATCGTCGCAGGATCTGTAACGTCCACCTCAACGGGGAGACTCGACCTTAGGGTTGAACGTTTCATCCAAAGGATAGCGCCATCGACATTGCGGTTGTCTCCCCACGACTGCACCGGAACCACAGGCTTCACCACGAGCTCAGGGTCCCAACGTGGGGGCGAAACCAGAACCTTCTGACCTAGAGCCGAGAGAATCAAACCCAGGTCCTCTCGCTTGCGGGGCGAGTGCTGTAACCACTGAGCTACAGAGCTGCGTACAGAAGGGGGAAAGAATGCATAGTGTGGAGCAATAAATTCAAAGAGACTGAACGGTCCTTCTTACCCGGTGAAACTCGCTCCACAAATGTACTTTGGTGTTGTATTATATCGGATCTCCGTGCGATTTTCAACCAGAAATAACTGAAACTCAATCTGTATTTTCCTACAGCTTTATTTAGGAGTGTATTTACTTCACAACTTGTATTTTATTTTGATACAAACAATGTGACTTAGAAATACTTTTTTTTTCTGTACAGATTAAAGCTACTTTTTGTAAAAGGGGCTTCGGAAATATTATATAAAAAAAAGTCTAAAAACAGTCTTTCTAACGACAACAGCAACAAAATACACCGGTCACGTTTCCATGTGATAATACAGCTCAGAGGAAATTAGACCCTTTTCTTAAAAAAAGTACATAGAACATTTCAAAGCGCGAAGGGTTTGAAATGAGTAAAATGTTTTGTTTTTGTTCTTCCATCTGACTTATTTACAAGTTTTCCTTTTTTTTTAAAAAAAAAAAATTCGGTTAATCCTTTGAAATGTACATTCTGCGTTGACTAGAGGTTGCGTTTTGGTGGCTGGAGACGCGAGGAGACAGAGAGAGAGAGAGAAGAGAGAGAGAAAATAAAAAGAAACTATCGTAGATGTGTCTCCCTCGTCTGTTCCCACACTGGCTGGTGAGACGCTCTTGCACTGAAAGTCCCGTTCAAGAGGTTATATTTTATGCGAGTTTTGGATTAACTCATACTTTACGTAAGTCATGTTAAATCACTGGTCCCAACTGATACGACTTACGTGAGGGTTACCGTATGTACCAGCCCACACCGGGTTACACCTTAAAACTTGTCGGTAGTTTTCCTTTGTTTTTCCTCCCTTCCAACGGCGATCCCCTTACAAGGTTTGGCCCCCAACGTAGACGGTCAAGTGCACTTTGCAGCATATTCTGTGAAGCGTTTCGAGACGTCTCGAGACCCGTCTCAAGACCCTCCTCTTCGACGGGGCTTTCGATCTCCCCGGCTTCCCCCCCACCTCCTGCCCTCCGTCCTCCCCGACCCCCAGCTCGAGTCCGCGGCTCTGTCTGTCCAGCGCCTTGGGACGTCCTCCCGACGTGAAGGGCGCTATGCAAATGTAATGCACACGTAGCTCAGTCCCACACACTGTGCAACACTCTCTCTCTCTCTCTCTCCCCCCCCCTCCCTGGGCTAGTGCAGTACTCACCAGCTACCACCAGAGAGCGGTAACACGCTATATAGTGCTTCACATTGTCACGGTAGAACCGGGCAGAGAATAATAATAATAATAATCCGCGCATTTGGCACAGCGCCTTATCAAGTCTTCGAGACGTCTCAAAGCGCTTCACAGGATACGCTGTCAAGTGAATTGATTGTACGCTTTGTGGGCGAAAGACAGCGGCCAACTGCGCACAGCAGCGTCCCGCAGACCGTCGCGGATCGAAGTGATCCAATTTCTTTTTTTTTTTGAAGGGATTATGACCCCTGGAAAAGCGATCGGCCAATCGACTAAACAACCGTGTTCCTACTCACTGCCGGGGTGGCATTGAGAACGAGCTGCCAAGTTCTGGCAGGAGTTGAAGGGGGGAAAGAGAGAGAGAAACTCCTGGCCACCCGGAATATTATGGTCAACCACCCACTTTGTAACTCCACGTCCAGGCAATACACAGCGACTACCATCAGGCCCACAGAGCGCAGGCTTGCTCTCTCAATCTCCGTTCAACATCAGCCACTTACACAGCGCCCCTCACGCAGGGGTAGCGCCCCAGGGCGCTTGTCGTTGGCGGAGCTGGAGGGGAGAGGCGGGGGGGGGGGGGTCCGTGGGGAGGTGACCGTAAGCACGGTTGAATAGGAAGCTCGTGAGTCCGCTTGGCAGTGTACTTGCATTCTTGTTTAAGTGCCCCTGTTGTTTAGTCGGCTTCTTAACTTAACATGCGAAAAAAAATACTGATTGAGAGAGCTTAGGGGTTCCCCTTCCGCCTGAGGCTCGACTAAGGTTCGGTGGAGAGAGAGACAGAGAGAGACGGGATTTGGTGTAGTGTAGGAAACGCGGAATCTAACACTGTCTTTGCGGAGTATTGGGCAGGTTCGGGGCTGCGAATGCCGGGAATTCTGATTGCATTCCAGATCCTCCTGTTTAAATGATAAAACGTGGCTTTTTTTTAAATAAGAAAATAACTGATTCCCCCCCCCCCCCACCACCCCCCACCCCCATCATTCCAAACAGAGGTGTGAATGTTGTCATTTACTGGTCCTAACAAATCGCCCCGATTTGATAGAAGTTACCGTTCAACCCAAAAAAAATTCCTTAGAACTAATCCATTTACAGCTGGACTGGAAGATTTTTTTGGGGGGGTCGGCCGGGTGTCTGACTCACGCGGAAACCCGTCACCGCGATCAGCCGGGCGGGAGTCTGACGCACGCGGAAACCCGTCCCCACTGTGGCTTAAGAGTCTCCAACACCCAACTGAGAATTCCACGCATCCCATCCCACTTCCACATGGAAATCCCAGAGATGAAGATTGTTGGAATGGAATGCGCTCTCTCTCTCTCTCTCTCTCTCTGTCTCTCTCTCTCCCCGGGGGGGACGCGCTCGGCTTACTTACCACTTAGTGAGCTGAGTTTTTTTTTCACTCGATTTGACACAAGGAAGTGAGCAGCGACTGAACTTAAGGAAGTGGGTGAATGTTAGGGTGAGTGGACTGTGAGTGTGAGTGTGAGTGTGAGTGTGGTGTGTGTGTGTGTGTGTGTGAGTGTGTGTGTGTATTTGGCAGGGTTCGTGAGCAGCTCTGGTCCATTAACAGTGAGGGTGTGTGGATTAATCAGCGAGCGAGCCTGGCAGTCTGGCTATTAGATACCCTGGCAGTGCTGGGCAAAGTCTCTTTCTGCTTCTGTTGACACTGGGAAGAAACATCAGGTCAACGGAAGTCCCTCGAGCTGCAACTAGAAAAATAATTCAAATGTATTTCTGACCACATTTAGGATCGAAGCTTATAAGGTGAGTGTAAGTGAGACACGACAGAGAGATCCCACGCGGAGAAAATGAAATGAAATGAAATAAAACCATGGCACGTTTGTGAGGAGTCCTGGGCTGATCTCGTCAGCCTCGCTCCTCCCCCCACCACACCTCGGGCCCTCTCTCGCCCCTCCACCCCCCCCCACCCACCCCCCCACTGCCCGAAATACCATTTACTTCCCATCTTTTCTGATGGCTGTTGATTTCAGAACCTCAATTGGTCACAAGAAGTCACAAAGAAGTCTTCAGAGGCAGAGAAAGGTGGGAGGGGGAAGTGACGTTAGTTAAGAAGTAAAATCGATGAGCAAAACAGTACAGGCCTCTTATCTGGGGACAAGACGGCAAAGGGGTCATCGGCAGTCGTTGGCATTGTCATTGTCTGTCACTCCCGGGTTAGTGTCTGTAGTGAGAGGCTCTGTGTCACTCTCTCTCAGGGCAGTGATGGGCAGCTGTTAAAACCAGCGGAATAAACGTTCTGGGACACTGGTCACATCGGCTCAAAGTGTTCCAAGTCCGGCGATAAGAGGGAGCGAGAGTGAGCCAGAGCGAGAGAGCAAGAGGCAGAAACACACATCGAACTCCCGTTAGTGTGGCTCGTAAAAGGGCCCGTCTCTGGATGAACGTAAACGGGCTGTTTCGCTCTCACACACCCCCCCCCCCCCCCACCCACCGCACACACATGCGGCTTCTTATTTTGCTCCTCAACATACGGGATCATGGGTGGGGGGAGTGGTGGCGGGGAAGGGAGAGGCAGTGAGCATCGTCGGTGAGAGAGCAATAAATTAAAACCGTTCCTTCTCACTTTTTCTTTCCCCCGAAAAAAAAGCTTTGAAATGACCCCCCCACCACAAAAATGACGGCATTTTAACTCCAGCGATCCCTTGTGTTCGCTTCACGACGTCTCTGTCTCCTTCTCTCTTTCTTTACTTTTCCTTCTTTTCTTTAAGACAAACCGCAGGACGATGACGACGATATAAGCCCTGTATATATATATATATATATATAAAAAAAAGGTCCTAAAACCACTCCCACCCCCCCCAAACCTCCCCCCTCCGTGGAGACATCTTTCTCTCTCGCGCACGCTCTCTCACTCTCTCTTGTCGAAAATAAAAAATAATAATAAAAATAATAAAAAAAAAACAAATTCGGGGGCCAGGAACTTCTATGCAAACACTTGCATTTTGTTGTTGGGTTCAGTCACGTGCTGGAGCTGGATCTGGAGCTGGAGTGGGGGCTGGTGCGAGACGATGGCTGGGCTGGGGGTGGTGGAGTCAGACCAGTCGGACATGGAGTGAGGAGACGGGCTCGTCCACTGCTCCGGCGACTCGGGGGAAGGGGTCAGGTAGGGGTGCTCAGTCTTCAGGTGGAGGTAATGCTTGGGCGTGTTCTCCAGCCCCGGGGTGTAGGCGTGTTTGGCGGGCGGGCTGCGGTAACCCTCGGGGCCGGTGCTGCCGTGGGCTTTGAAGTACGTGGCCACGTTGCCCTGAATCGGCGGCGGCGGCGGAGGAGGGGGAGGAGGAGGCTGGGCTTCCTGCGGGGATAGGGACGGGTTGTTGCACCGATCTGGCATCCTGGCCACGTCGCTCCGACACAGGCCCTGTTGGCTGGGGCGCCCCCCGCCGCTGGCAGGAGCCACGCATAGCTGCTGGCCCGGCCCGGGCTGAGAGAGCTGGGGCTGTTGTTGTTGCTGCTGCTGCTGTTGTTGTTGTTGTTGTTGTTGTTCGGCCGCTTCTGCGCTGGGGGGAGGTTTGCTGGGGCTCTGTTGGTTGAGGGCTTGATTCCCGTTGCCCGCGCCCACGGTGTTCTGCAGGAGCAGGCTGTGCGGCAGGCCGGGGGCGTGCTGGCGGATGCCCCCCCCACCCACGCCCACCCCGGCCTGGTGAAGCACGTTGATGACCGAGTTACACTGGGCCGAGCCTGCTGCCATGCGCGGGTGCCACTCGAAGGGCAGGGCGGTGACAGGGCCCATCATGCCCACGTTCAGGCCCAGCCCCGCCGTGTTGAGGAGGCAGTTGGACTGGGCGGCGGACAGCTGCGACATGGACAGACGCGGGGGCTGGAGGTGGTTCATGGACAGGATGGCCGTGTTCTGGGCGGCGATGTCGCCGATGTTGCGGAGGCTGGCCAGCGACACGGCAAAGGGGCCCTCCAGCACTCCCCCGCCGCCCCCCGGGGGCGAGGTCAGCACCGACAGGGAGCCGGCCGGGTGCAGGAGGCCCGAGGCCGTCATGACAGGCGAGGTAGGGTTGGCCATGTAGGCACAGGGCGATTCCAGCGAGTCGACGGGCGACAGAGTGACCGAGCTCTCCATCAGCGCCCCCTGGCAGTCCAGGCTGAGCTTCTTGCTCCGCGCCTTGCTCTCCTTGCTCTGGTTGGCCCCGCTGCCCGCCTTGGCTCCCGGCCTCCTGCTCTTCTTGCCCTGAGGCGTCTGCTTGAGGTTGCTCAGGTAGCTGTTCGGGGGGCACATGAGCGGGGACATGGAGTGGGGCCCCAGGGAGCCCCCGGGCCCCTGCGGGCTTCGCACGGCGTTGTACTCCTCCAGCAGCTGCACAATGTCGTGGTGCATCCGGTCCTGGGCGATGTCCCGGGGGAGCCTGTCCATGTGGTCGGTGATGTCACGGTTAGCGAAGTGATCCAGCAGCATCTTGGCGGCTTCGTAGCTGCCCTCGCGAGCGGCCAGGAACAGCGGAGTCTCCTCCTGCAGCGGGGGGAGGGGTTGGGGGGGGGGAGAGAGGGAGACAAGGAAGAGCCGAGCCGGCCTGGTTACATACCGCCTTGTTATGCCTCCAAGCTCTCTTCCACTCACTCATTCACTCTCCCACCCGCTCACTTACTAAACTTGCCCAGTGTTTTGCCCGTGCCCACCGGGAAACAAACCCAGCTCTCCCGCTTGCGAAGCGAGCGCCCTAGCCACTAAGCTATAGGGCTCCGCGAGTCCTTTACTGACCGGCGGCTTGCTGATCTCTCCTCACCTTACTGTCCTGCATGTCCTTGTTGGCACCGTTCTTGAGCAGCACCAATGTGGCATCTACATTGTTGACGGCTGCTGCCCAGTGAAGGGCGGATTTACCTACAAGCAGAGACGTCACCTGTTACACAAACCTTTAGCAAAGCTAACACATCCCGGGCTGACACACACTGAGCCGGACTGACACGCGCATACACACACTGAGCTGGGCTCACACACACACACACACACAGACTGACACACACACACACACACACAGACAGGCTGACACACACACACACACACAGAGACAGGCTGACACACACACACACACACGCTGAGCTGGGCTGACACATTCACACACACACACACAGACAGGCTGACACACACACACACAGAGACAGGCTGATATGCACACACACACGCTGAGCTGGGCTGACACATTCACACACACACACACACACACACACACACACAGAGACAGGCTGACATGCACACACACATGCTGAGCTGGGCTGACACATTCACACACAGAGACAGGCTGACACACACACACACAGAGACAGGCTGACACACACACACTGACGGTAACGGGGCGGGTGGTAGACTTACCGATTTCATCGACAGCATTCACGTCAGCGTGACAAGCAATCAGCTCCTCCACCATCCCCTCCACAGCGAGCCGAGCGGCCAAGATCAGCGCAGAGGAGCCGTCCAGCATCCGCGAGTCCAGGTCTGTGGCTCGGTTCCTTATTAGGATCTGGGGAAGAGGAACAGATCCGCACGTCAGTAATAATAATAAAAATAATAACCCTCGCATTTGACACAGCGCCTTATCACGTCTTTGAGACGCCTCAAAGCGCTTCACGGGATACACCGTGAAGTGAATTGACTTGTGTGTTTTGTGGGTGAAACGCGGCAGCCAATTGCGTGACCAATTTTTTTTGAGGGATTATAACCCCGGGAAAACCGATCCGCCAATCGACTAACAACCGGGTTCCTACTGACTGCCGGAGTAAACAGAGGTGCGCGTGTGTGTCTGTGTGTGTGTGTGTGTGTGTGTGTGGGGAGTATGGAAACGGTTGCCTAAGGTTTCGCCCTGACCTGACCCGCCCGGCAATCGAACCCGGGTCCCCGCGTTTGCGAGGCGAGGTCTCCTTTGGCGACCCGATGCTGTGGTGTGGGGCAAACAATAAAGTATAGGACACAGCGTAGCGTGTGACTGTGACTGCGCTTTTTGTAGGGTGAGGCGTTACCTGAAAGACCCCCTGGGCGTCGGCGGCCACGGCAGCGTGTAGGGGGGAGCGCCCCGTGTTGTCTTGAGCGTTGGCGTCGGCCCCAGCGTCCAGCAGCCGCTTGGCTGCGTCGGCCCGGGCGTAGCGGGCAGCCAAGTGCAAGGCTGTCTCCCCCGTCCTGTCGGTCTGAGCGCACAGGTTGGCCCCCTGGTAGATCAGGTTGGAGATGATGTTGGCGGACGAGTCCTCCGGCTCTTCCTCCTCGGCCAGGCCCGTGTCCAGCCCCCCACCGCAGTACGAGGCCAACATCAGGGGCGTGAACCCGTCTAAGCAGAGAGAGAGAGAGGGAGAGAGAGCGCGGGAGGGAGGGGGAGAGAGAGCGAGAGTGAGGGAGAGAAGGAGAGGCAATGGGAGTCAGGCTGAGACAATCACTTCGTGAACTCTGGAGCATATCATTTTAAGACTTTAATTGGCAGTTAACAAAGAGACTGTCAAATGTGTGTGTGTCTTTGTTTGCGTTTAGGGTGTGTGTGTTGTGTGTGTGGGTGTTGTTTGTGAGTGTATGTAGTGTGTGAGGTGTGTAGTGTGGGTGTGTGATGCGTGTGTGAGGAAGGTGTGAGTGTGTGCGTGTGCAGGGTGTGTGTATAGAGTTAGGTACCTGGGCCTCGGACATTCACATCCATGCAGTCGGAGTCGAACTCGCCCTGGGGTGGGGTCAGAGCCATGGACGGGGGCATCCGGATGTCAGCCGCGGCGAGATGATGCTGTGTCCACTGCCGGCAATCCACTGTGTCCTCACTGTCTGACAGCACAGCTGGTCCCTCCACCTAACACAGAGTCAACAACTGCCTCAGTATATATACACACTCCCTCAGTATATACACACACTCCCTCAGTATATACACACACACTCCCTCAGTATATACACACACATTCCCTCAGTACATATACATACAGTACATATACTCAGTATAATACACACACTCCCTCAGTATATACACACACACTCCCTTAGTATATACACACACACTCCCTCAGTATATAATACACACACTCCCTCAGTATATACACACACTCCCTCAGTATATACACACACTCCCTCAGTATATACACACACACTCCCTCAGTATATACACACACATTCCCTCAGTACATATACATACAGTACATATACTCAGTATAATACACACACTCCCTCATTATATACACACACACTCCCTTAGTATATACACATACACTCCCTCAGTATATAATACACACACTCCCTCGGTATATACACACACTCCCTCAGTATATACACACACTTCCTCAGTACATACACACACAATCCCTCCACACACACATCCACACCACAAACGCAAGCACACAGACACATGCACTCACACACAGACTCACACCACATACTCACACCCCCTCCACGCACTCACACACACGCTGGACTGTGCTGAGAGTAACGACAGTGAACCTGAGCCTGACCTTCAGTCTCTTGGCCTCAGGGCAATCGTTGTCCAGCCAGGGCTCTGTCTGCAGGTCTCGCTCGCTCATCAAACCCTCCTCCACCATCCCCTTCGAGATGTGTCTGTGATAAACCAGCACAGGGTGTCAGTGTGTGTGTGTAAAGCCTCCCCCAGTGTGTGAGCTTCAGTGTGTGAGCCCCACTCGCCCTTCCCTCGCCTCTTTCAAGGCCCATCTCAAGATCCTCCTCTTCGACCAACCGCGCCTTCGGTCACCCTCCTACCCCTACCCCACCCTCCACTCCTCCCTAGTCCAACAACCAGCTCGGGTGCGGATCCCTGACTGTCCAGCACCTTGGGACGTCGTCCAGCACCTTGGGACGTCCTCCAGCCTTGCCCCTCCAATGCCCAACAACCCCCCCAGTGTTTGCCAGCCTTGCCCCCCCAATGCCCAGCGCCCCCACTTACTTCATGCCCAGGGAATCCTGACCCACAGGTTCACGCCGGTTCTTGTTGCTGCTGTCCTTCTTCAGGTTGAAGCCCTCGGGGAACCAGAGGACGCTGTGCTCCCGCTTACGTCTGGCCACCAATACTCCCAGCACCAGGATAACCAGCAAGATCACAGCCGCCACAACCACCAACGACAGCATGTTCACAGGGGGGGAGGGCGGGGGCAACACCTCTCCTGGGAGACACAGCGAGAGAGAGAGAGACACAGAGAGGGAGAGAGGAGAGACAGAGAGAGAGAGGGAGACAGAGAGAGAGAGAGAGAGAGAGAGACAGGGAGAGAGTTGGAGAGACGAGGAGAGGGAGCAAGAGAAAGGGGACAGAGACAGAGAGACAGACAGAGCGAGAGGGGAGAGAGAGAGAGGGAGACAGAGAGAGGGTGACAGAGAGGGAGATAGAGAGAGACGGGGAGAGAGAGAGAGAGAGAGAAAAAGGGAATGTAAATCAAAATCACAACAACAACAAATTACTTTACACAGCTCCTTTCACGTCGGGAGGACATCCCAAAGGGCTGGAATTTAGTTCAGTGGTTACCGCACTCGCTTGGCAGAGCGAGAGACCTGGTTTTGATTCCTGCCCGGGCAGGCAGGGCGAGAAGTTTCCTTACTCCACACACACGCCTGTGTTTACCCAGCAGTGAGTAGGAACCCGGTTGTTAGTCGGCTGGCGGATCACTTTTCCGGGGGTGGGGGGGTAATAATTCCTTCAAATTAAATAATGATATTAGTAATAACAAATTGGTCATTTCAACCCACAACTATTTGTGGGGACGCTGCTGTGCGCAATTGGCTGCCGCATTTCGCCCCAAAAATATACAGTCAATTCACTTTACAGTATAACCTGTGAAGCGCTTTGAGACGCCTCGAAGACGTGGTAAGGCCTATATTAAATACAAGGATTATTATTACTAGTTTTTTGTGAACAATGCTGTTTAAGGAGGGGAGCGCTCTGTCTCGCCAGGGCTATGGTCTCTGTTCCCTTGAGTTCAGAAGGTTGAGGTGAGAGTTGATCTGAGGTGTTTGAAATAATAAAGAGATTTGATAGGGTAGATGCAGAGAAATTATTTCCTCTGGTGGGTGGGGGAAATCCGGAGCAAGGGGGACTTTAATCATCTTAAAATTGGAGCCGGGCCATTTAGGAGTGAGATCTTGAGGCAGTTTTTCAGCAAAGAAGAGTTGAAATCTGGAACTCTCTCTCTCTCTCCCCCAAAAGGCTATGGATTCATTATTTCCAGACTGTGGTGGACAGAGGTTTGTTGGGTCAGGGTATTAAGGGAGTTGGGGCAAGAGGGGGTTAACTGGACTTGAGGTACAGATCAGCCCTGATCTTATAGAATGGCGGAACAGGCTCGAGGGGCTGAAGGGCCTCCTCCTGTTTCTGTGAATCTACGTATCTCTGTGTGTCTGTCGAAGGAGACTTACCGTGGACGTCCTTGATGGGGTAGGGGAAGTGCAGGTTCCCTACCACTTTGAGGGCCCCCATATACGCGGCTGCGTTCTCCGCTGTGGGGAAGCACTCGCCAGCCGCCTTCAGGCACAAGCGGTTATCGATCTCGAGGTTCACTTCTGACCTGCGGGGCGGAGAGAGAGCAACACACGGCAATTAGGAGTCTGTCTAACAAATGAGAGTGACGAGGTACTGCCTCTGCTGACTTCCTCTTCGATCCTCCTACTCCTCCCTGATCCCAACCAACAGCTCGGGTGCGGATTCCTGACTGTCCAGCGCCTTGGGACGTCCTCCTGACGTGAAAGGCGCCATGTAAATGTGCTGTTGGTGTTGTTGATGCTGTTGTTGTTGATGCTGTTGCTGTTGTTGTCGACTTACCCTATGACCTCCTGGCCGAGCTCCCGGACCACCCTGGCGTGCGGGGCCGAGCGCCTCTGGACTCCGGCCCGCCGGACCCCGTAGTAAGGGTAGATCATGTACTGGCCGTTGGCGTCCAGCTTGAAGCGCAGGCTGGTGCGGAGCAGGGAGCCCAACTTCTGCAGGAAGTTCGTACTGCTCCTCAGCAGCTCCTCCGGGGGCAGCAGGACAATCAGCACCAGCGTCCCCTCCGCCAGGCGCTCAGGCACGTCTGGGGCGCAGTCCAGCCCGTCCCAGCCGCACTCCTCGTTGTTACAGCCCTGGTCACAGCGGCCATCAGCGTAGTGATCCGCACAGTACTTCTCATACAGCGGGCTAGCGAGGAGAGGGGGGAGACAAGCAGCGTTACGCAGAGAGAGAGAGACACAGACACACACACACACACACCGTTACAGTTCACACACAGGCTCGACAGCGAGCGCTTTGCTAAGCCCGAATACCAGGGATCAAAGGGTTGGATCAACTCGGACGACAAGTTAAAGCTGTTCAGGCGGATGTTAAAACATCCCGTGGCACAATTTGGAATAATCCTTACATCTTATCACCTCGTCGCGACGTCTCAAAGCGCTTCGCAGGATATACCGTGAAATGTAGCGACTGTGTATTTTGTGGGCAAAACGAGGGCAGCCAATTGCCCACAGCGGTGTCCCACAGACAGTCGTGGGTTGAGTGACCAAATTATTACTTTATTTTGAAGGGATTAATTATTACTCCCGAAAAAGCGATCAGTTAATCAACTGACAACCGGGTTCCTACTTACTGCAAGGTAAACAGACGCGAGTGGGTGTGGGTGTGTGTGGAACAAGGAAACTTGCCAAACGTTTCGCCCTGCGGGGAATCGAACCCAGGTCCTCTCGCTCGCTAAGCACTGAGCTACGAGACTCCACAAGGACACCTAAGATTTCGACCCCCAGCTGGGAATCGAACCCAAGTCCTCTCGCTTGCGAGGCGAGCGCTCTAACTACTGAGCTGTGGGGCTCCACCGTGGCTGTGACTCACTTGCAGACCCGCTCCTGGCTCTGACAGTCAAAGTTGTCGTACAGACACTCGCGCCTGTTGCAGTCCTTGTCGCACAGGTTGTTGCTGAAGAGGCTCCAGCACTGCGCCCGCGGGCAGCCCTTCCAGGGGTCGTCCACTGACAGCGAGCAGTCTCCCCCATCCCACTGGCAGGCCCGCGTGTTGCATTCCCGGTCGCAGTAGCCGTCACTGGCCTTGCCCCCGCACTCGGCGAGGGAGCAGCCTGGGGGCTCGGTGGGCTGGGGGAGCCCCTTGGGCAGGAAAGTCTTCAACAGCTCGCAGCGAGAACCCCCGAACTCCTTCGGGCAGAGGCACTGGTAATAGGGAGGCTGTCGGCTGGGTTTACAGAAGCCCCCGTTACGGCACGGCCGGCCGGCACAGGTGTTGTTGTTGCGGAGATGGCAGGCCGGGCCTGTGAAGCCGGGGAGGCAGGTACACTGGGCTCCCAGCGGGGAGTCCAGGCAAAGCTCGTTACTCTGGCAGTTCAGCTCCCGGCAGCTCAGGAAGCTGCGCTGACAGTTGGTCCCGGAGAAATTCTGTAAGAAAAAAAAACAAAAACACACTGGCACAACAACTTGAGTTTATATCGCACCCTTCACGTGGGGTAGCGTCCTTCAGCGGTTCACAATTGTATTTTCCAGGCAGCCGATTGCGCACAGTCGTGGACCACAAACAGTCATGGATCGGGTGATCAAAGGCTGTGTATTTAAGCCCCCAATGGAATGTATCGCCCACAAAATATAGAGGCAACTCACTTTACGGTGTATTCTCTGATGCGCTTTGAGACGTCTAGAAGACGTGGTAAGGCGCAAGTTCAAATGCAAGGATTATTGTCATCATGTGTGAGCTCACGGTCTAAGCTGGTGCTCCAATTGAGTATTGGGGGGTGGTGGGGGGGGGGGCGAAGAGAGAGTCAGAGAGAGACAGACAGAGAGAGAGACAGACAGACGTAGCGAGACAGACAGAGAGATGACATGGAAAGAGAGACATATGCAGAGAGAGAGACAGAGAAGAGGGACCACACAGAGAGAGACCCAGAGAGACAGAAGATGAGAGAGAGAGACAGAAGATGAGGGAGAGAGAGACAATAGAGAGAATTGCTGCCTTAATTTCCTCTGGGCACTGGGCTCAGACACTCACCGGTTGACATTTGCACGTGTAGCCGAGGGGTGTGTTGACGGTCAATTTACAATGGCCACCATTCTGACAAGGGTGGGACTCACACATGTTGATGACGCTCTGACACTGGTGACCTGTGAGGGGAGAGGAACGGTCATTGAGGCCTGTAAACAGGATGGTGAGAGAGAGACACAGAGACAGGTAGAGACACAGGGGTGGTGAGAGAGAGTTACAAACAGACAGACTGACAGACAGAGAGAAGTAGAGAGATGTTGAGACAGAAATGTAGAAAGAGAGTAAGAGAGATGTAGAGAGAGAGCGACGTAGAGACAGATAGAGAGATGTAGAGAGAGATGGACAAAGGGAGAGAGAGGCAGAGAAAGACATAGAGATAGAGAGAAACATAGAGAGCGAGGGAGAAAGACAGAGAGACAGAGACGTAGAGAGAATCGACCGAGAGATACACACACCCACTCATAGACGTAGAGAGAGAGACAGAGACACATAAAGGCAGACGTAGAGAGACACACAGATAGATAGACACACATACACAGAAAGAGACAGGGACAGGGAGACACAGAGACAGAGAGGAGTTGCTGTATGAGTGAGGCAGGCAATGCCCAGTGCTGACACACTGACCTGTGTAGCCGGGCTTGCACACACAGTGATAGTCATTGGGGAGTTGGATGCAGTTGATTGTTGTCTGTGGGTTACAGGGGTTGGAGAGACACTCATTGATGTCGCCCTCGCACCGATCGCCAGTGAAGCCGGGGGGGCAGTTACAGGTGTAGCCGCCCACTCTGTCCACGCACGTCCCATTATTCAGACACTTGGAGCTTTGAGAGAAGCCACAGTCGTCCTGGTTTATCTCGCACAGCACGCCTGGGTGTAAGAGGAGCCTTCAGCAATCACATCCCTCCGTGAGTCCTACGGTCTGCCTGCTCAGTGAACCCTCATAGTCTTTGTAAGGCATGTCTCGAGACCCTCCTCTTCGACCGTGCCTTTGGTCACCCTCCAATCCCTATCCCCCTGCCCTCCGCCGCTCCTGATCCCAACCCCAGCGCTCGGGTCTGTCCAGCGCCTTGGGACATCCTCCCAACCTGAAAGGGCCTTTCCAAATATTGTGGTTGTTGTAAAGTGCTTTAATTGGTTCATTCAGCGCAAGAGATGCAATATAAGCATTGGACTCTGTGTGTGTGCGTGGGGAGGTGTGTGTGTGTGTATGTGGTGCGCGTGCGGCGGGGGGTTTGGTGGTGAGTTTGTGTATGTGTGCCGTCATAATGTAAACCTCAGCTTAAACCACACACACTCTCACCCGCACCCCAACTCACGCAAACCAACCCCTCCCCTCCTCCGCCCCCACCCCCAGCGCTCAGCACAGACTACATTACCGAGTGTTCCTGGTGGGCACGAACAGATGTAGCGGCCGATCAGGTCCAGGCAGGTGCCCCCATTCTGGCAGGGGTTGGATTCACACTCGTTGACCTCCAGCTCACACTTTGTACCCTTGTAGCCCGGCAAGCACTGGGGGAGGAAGAAACACAGTCAGCGCTGCTCACCCCTGGTACACACACACACCTTGTACACACACACACACACACCCCTTTTACCTACACTCCCGTATGCACATACACATCCCCCGTACACACACACACAAGCCTTGCTCACAAGTCATCCCCTCATTGGAATAATAATAATAATAATAATCCTTGCGTTTGATACAGCGCCTTATCACGTTGTTGAGATTCTGTCTCCAAGCGGAACAGGATTCCCTCGCTGGTCTTACCTCACACATGAAGTGTCCGATGAAGCTTCTGCAGGAGGCACTGTTGTGGCAGGGGTTGGGTTGACACTGATCCACCTCGGCCTCACAGTAACTGCCCGTGTAGCCCTTCTGGCACACGCAGTAGTGAGCGTTCCCAGCGCTGAAACAGGAGCCAGCGTGGTGACACAGCTGGCTCACACTCACTCCTTGTGCACAAGAGCAGGCAAAGCAAAGGGGAGCGTTACACTGGGATCATTGGGGACAATTTTAACATCATCACAGAAAACGTTGGGTGGGAGGTATGTGTGTGTGTGTGTGTGTATGTATGTGGGTGAGTGTAGGTGTGTGTGTGAGGGAGTGTGTGGGGGGCGATGAGAGAGAGGATGAGGCTGCTTACCTCTCCGCACTGCTGCCACCTCACACGAGACGCTGGGGATGTCACAGTAGCGCCCTGCCCAGCCGCTGCCACACTCACAGCTGAAGGAGGTGCGTGTGGGACGGCACCAGCCTCCGTTCTTGCAGGGAGACTTACTGCACCAGTCCACAGTTGCCTGCGGACACACGAACATCAGTAAGAACATCTGCTCCCCCCCCACCCCTCCCGACACTCCACCTCCCGCTGCCTCCGTTCGGCTGGTTCCGTCCTACTGTTCGTCCCTTAGCCCCTCCGCTCCACCGTCGGCAGCCGTGCCTTCAGCCACTCTGCCCCGAAACTCTGGAACTCTCTCCCTCAATCCCCCTGCCTTGCTCCGAGGGAGGGAGCCAGTGGGATGTAGAGTGATACAGGGAGGGAGGGAGAGGGAGGGAGATGCAAAGGGATAGAGAGAGAGAGAGAGAAAAAGGGATGGAGGAGAAAGCAGAGCGAGGAAGGGAGGGAGAGGGGGAGGGTCAGAAAGAGGGAGGGAAGGAGGGAGGGATTGGAACGTAGAGTGACAGAGAGAGAGAGCGAGAGAGAGATGGAGACAGCTCAGCTCACCTGACACCTGTCGCCGCGGTAGCCCTGCTGGCAGATACACCTGTACGATTCCACACCATCCACACATACCCCACCGTTCAGGCAGGGGGCTGAGCGGCACTCGTCGATCTCGTGCTGGCAGTTGGAGCCGGTGAAGCCCGGGCGGCAGCGGCAAGTGTAGGTGTTCACACCGTCCAGGCAGGTGCCACCATTAAAGCAGGAACTGTGTGGGGGGGGGAAGTGACGGCGGGCGATAATGTTAGCTCGGGTTTGCTAAACCCTCTCCCCCAAGAGCAGGACATTTCCCGCACTCGCCCCCAAGAGGGGGAGCTATAAGAGATCTCTGAGGAAATGACGCACTCAATACCCCCCTCTCCCTCCCTACGGGCAGGCGGGAATCGAACCCAGGTCTCTCACTTGCGAGGCGAGTGCTGCTCTAGCCACAAGGACTTCAGATGGCTAAGGATGTGGAGGGTCAACGGAGGGAGTGAGTGTATGAGTGATGGGCTGAGTGTGTGAGTGAGTGAGGGAGTGTGTGAGGGACGGACTGAGTGAATGGCTGAGAGAGGGAGTGAGTGTATGAGTGAGTGACTGAGGGAGTGAGGGTGTGACTCACCTCTTGGTGCAGTCGGGGATGTTGTTCTCGCAGTGTAAGCCGCTGAAGCCGGCCTGGCACGTACAGGTGTAGCTGTTAACGTAGTCTGTGCAATGGCCCCCGTTGCGGCACGGGTTACTCTGGCACTCGTTGACCTCGGTGGCACACCGGCTGCCGGTGAAGCCGGGCTGGCAACTGCAGCTGAAGGAGTTGACTCTGTCCAGGCAGGCGCCGCCGTTCAGGCAGGGATCTGAGACATGGCACAGCACAGAGCGACGGCGTTAGTAGTAATAATAATCATCATCATAATAATAAGCCTCGCATTTGATACAGCGCCTATCGAAGGCTGACCGAAGGCACGGTCGAAGAGGAAGGTCTTGAGGGAGACAAATAGGGTGCGAGGCAGAGGGACTACGGGATTGGGGCAGAGAGAGGCTGAATGTCCGCCCGCCGAAGGGAGAGCGCGAGCGGACTGGTAGGTGGTTAGGAGGTCACAGAGTTAGGGAGGAGCGAGGCGGTGGAGGGCTTTGAAGGTGAGGACCAGGATCTTGAACTGTATCCTCTGAGTGATGGGGTGGAGAGGAGGGGTGGCAGTGGGATGAAATGTTGCCCGGGCGGGTGAGGAGAGGAGCCTGGGTGCCGAGGCTGGGCTGTAGGGCCTAGTAGATACTCACTGGGAGTGCAGTCGTTGATGTCTGTCTCGCACGTGAGTCCCGTGAAGCCTGGCCGACACGCACACGCAAAGCCTCCCAGCTCGTTAGTGCAACTCCCCCCGTTCTTACACGGGCTGGTGGCACACTCGTCAATATCCACGTGACAGGTTTGTCCTGAAATACAAAGGGGAGCGGAGAGAGCGAGAGGTGGAGATGGAGAGAGAGAGAGAGAGAGGGAAAGGCGGGGAGAAATAAACACTGGTCAATATACATGTATGTGTATAATTCCCTGCATTTGATACAACCCCTCATCACGTCGTTGAGACGTCTCAAAGCGATTCACTGCGACTGTGTAAGGTGTAGCGACTGTGTACTTTTTTTTGTCGGCCAAATCTGGTAGCCAACGTCACGGCAGTGTCCCACAAACGGTTGTGGATTGAGTGACTGCATTTTTTTTCTTTGGAGGTATTATTACCCCCGGAAAGCGATCCGCCAATCGACTAACAACCGGGATTCTATTCACTGTTGGGTAGGTAAACAGAGACGTGTGTGTGTGTGTGTGGAGTAAGGAAACTTGCCTAAGGTTTCGCCTCAACCGAGAATCAAACCCGAGTGAGCCGAGGGCTCTAACCACTTAGCTACAAGACTCCACAAGTCTTGGCTCATCAAGCCATTGACTGCCACACAAACTGAGGTCTCGCTGACAAGCAGTGCTCAGCCCTACTGTTACCTTGCCAGCCCAACCCCCCCCCCCCCGCCCACCGCCACACAACTACAGCTCTGCCCCTTACCTTGCCAGCCCTCCCCACAGGTACATATGAAATCCTCGTAGTCTGGTGTGTGGTCGCACAAGCCTCCGTTCTCGCACGGGTTTGGGGAACAGGGTACCAGCACATTCTCACAGTTGGGTCCTTCAGTCAGGAGGGGGCAGGAGACACAGAGAGGGACCAAGAGAGAGAGGGGGAAAGGGAGAGAGAGGAGGAAAGGGAGAGAGGGAGAGAGAGAGAGAGTCATTTCCATGCAGCTATCAACAGAGCTGCAGAAGTGCACTGGGAACCATTCCCGAATAGCACTTTCTGTTTAGAATGGTTTAATAATAATAGTAATAATCCTTGCATTTGATAGAGCGCCTCATCGCGCCTTCGAGACGCCTCAAAGCGCTTCACAGAATATTATTAGTATGATTATTAATCTGTCTCAGTCGCTGCATCACATTTGTGTGTAACTCGCACCCAGTGACCTGCGAGTCCCACTGTGCAACAGAGAGATTAGCCGGGACGAGCTTTGCTCCTTCTCTGTCCCTCCTGATGAGGGCGATCTTCACGCACCTCAGGGATCGCAAGTGCTAGAAAATCCTGATAATAATAATAATAATATTCATCCCTGCATGTGCTACAGCGCCTTATCACATCTTCGAGACGTCTCAAAATGGTTCACAGAATATACTGTAAAGTGAACTGGCTGTATATTTTGTGGGCGAAAGCCGGCAGCCAATTGCGCACAGCAGTGTGGATTGACTGACAAACAGCCGTGGATTGAGTGACCAAGTTATTGTAAAAAAAAACTTGCAGGCTGACACACACTGAGCCAGATTAACATACACACTGAGCCAGGCTGACACAAGCTGAGCCAGGCTGAGACACACACACACACGCTGAGCCAGGGTGACGTACACACACACACTGAGCCAGGCTGACACACATGCACACACTGAGCCAGGCTGAGACACACACAAACGCACAACACACTGGGCCAGGCTGACAAACACACACTGAGCCAAACTGACCCACACTGAGCCAGGCTGACACACACACACACTGAGCCAAACTGACCCGCACTGAGCCAGGCTGACACACACACACACTGAGCCAGGGTGACACATCCTTGGCTTTAACTTGTGGTCTGCCACGTCAAGAGACAGTACAGTAAGCCCACAGCCTGGCCACCAAGCTCATTACTGACCCACTCTACTTAAAAGAAGTTACAGTGAAGCTGGCAGCCTGTAACTTTTAAGAGGAGCTTTACTGCTCGGCTCGGCCCGGGGTCAGCCTCTTAATCTTACCTGTGTAAGGCAGGTCGCACTGGCAGCTATAACTGGCAATTTTATCCACACAAACTCCTTTGTTCAGGCAGGGGTTTGAGGCACAGTCATTGATGTTAACTTGGCAGTGTTGTCCTGAGTGAAGAAATATGAGGTGTCGCTTCAATTGTTTCTACTGCAACCAGCAATCAGTCTGTGGGAGGGCTGAGCCCTCGTCTGCTAACCTCAGCTCCTCTCGTGACTCAGTTTCACATTAGGCAGAATCCCGCTCTGCTCCAAGGGTGTAGTCCATTGACTTGCCCGCTTCCTCTGCTCAGCGGGCTCTGGCCTGCTCCACGTCTCCCGCCCGCCCGGCCTGGCCCGGCCCACCCCACCATCGTCGGTCGGGCCTTCAGCCTCTCCGCCCCCACCCATTGGATCTCCATCTCACATTCCCTTCGCCTTGCCCTCTCCCTTGCCTCCTTCAAGATCTGTCTCAATGTCCCCCCTCTTTGACCAACCTCGCCTTCCTACACCCAACCCTCTGTGTCCTCCACCCCTCCCTAATCCCAACCCCCAGCTTGGGTCTAAACTCCAGACAGTCCATCGCTGCGTAAATGTAATGTGTTGCTGGAACGGTTAAAATCTCTGCCTTATGACTCAGTGGTGAGACTGCCACCACTGAGCCAGGCTGACACACCCTCAGCTTGAACATGCGTCTAACCCGACCGAACGCCTACCTCGAAAGCCTTCTTTACACTTGCAGATGTAGCCGTTGATGAGGTCGGAGCAGGAGCCCCCGTTCTGGCAGGGGTTGGACTCGCACTCGTTCTTGTCCAGGTGGCAGTTCACGCCCCCCCAGCCGGCTTCACAGTCACACTTGTACCTGCAGGTTACAGCACACACAATGCAGGTCTGAGCCGGGAGTCACCGATTCTAACCTCGCCCCCCACCCCACCCCTCCGACCCGCTGCCTCCACTCGACTGGCTCCGTCTTCCTGCATGTCCCCCTGGTGCCCTCCGTTCCACCATCAGTGGCCGCGCTTTCAGCCCCTGCGCCCCGAAACTCTGTCCCACTCTTCCTCTATCCCTCCCTCCGACTCACCCCCCTTCCTTCCCCATCTTCAGGTCGCACCTGAAGACCTTCATAGTCGATCGTGCCTACGGTCACCTCCCGCCCCCTCCTCCCCCACCGTAGCTTCAGTGTCTTACCCGTTGATGTCATCATGACAGATGCCGTGCACACAGGGGCTGCTGCCGCACTCGTCCACCTCGGAATAACACAGGGGGTCGTGGAAACCGTCAGGACACAGGCAGGTGAAGCTGTTCTCTCCGTCCACACAGGTGCCCCCGTTTCGACATGGACCTGACACACACTCGTCGATCTCAACGTTGCACAGAGGCCCTGCCCACAGCAAAGCCGCTTTTAGTAAAAATAATTAGCCTCACATTTGACATCAAAGTGCTCTGGGACGCTATCCTGCGTGAACAGCGCTCTATGAATGCAATTTGTTGTTGCTCGTGATTATAACAATAACAACAATGGATCCTGGCATTTGATACAGCGCCTGACCACGTTTTCGAGACGTCTCAAAAGCGCTTCACAGGACACACTGTAAAGTGTAGTGACTGTGTGTTTTGTGGGTGAAATGTGGCAGCCAATTGCGCCCAGCGACGTCCCCACAAACAGTTGTGGATTCAGAGACTGACCGAATCATTATTTTTTTTGAAGGAATTATTACCCCCGGCAAAGCGATCCGTCAATCGGCTCACAACCCTCGTTGTATAATAAATATTTAATCGTGATAATAAGTCTTTACCCGGCACAGAGGAAGCCGGAAAAGCAGGAGAACGAGAAAGTGAGTGAGCAGCTTACCTGAGCACAGGTACAGACAAGATACGGGGGGGAAGAGGAGGGGGAGAGAAAAAGACAAGAGACATCTAGCTGTGTGAGGGCAGACACTCACCTGTGAAACCAGCTTTGCAGATACAATCGTACCGATTAATCCCGTCCTGACAGATGCCATAATCGCAGGGCTGGCTGGCACAGTCGTCGTAATTAATCTCACAGTTGACACCTGCAATTGTCCACACGACACAGAGAGTGAAAGGCTTGCGTCTCCACACGCAGCATTCATTTCCCTACACCAAACACTGATACCCCTTGGCCCCTCTTTGGTGGGGTTTCTGGTTAGTGTTCAGCAGGGAATGTGTGGGGTTGGGGGTTTAGGGTTACGGGGGATGGTTGGGTTAGGGTGGGGGGGTTGGCATTACCTGAGGTGCCCAGCTGGCAGTGGCACAGGTACGCATTGACCAGATCGATGCACTTGCCAGAGTTCTGGCAGGGGTTGCTGTGGCACTCGTTGACCTGGTTCTCGCAGCGGTAGCCAGTGTAGCCGGAGTCACACACGCAGGTGAAGCTGGCGATGCCGTCGATGCAGGTGCCGTGGTGACAAGGGTCCGGGTTGCAGTCGTCAACGTTCCTCTCACACAGCACGTCTTCGAACCCTGCGGGAAACAGCACTCAGGTCAGGACGGGCAAATAAGACAACCTCAACAACAGTGCAGTCCTGTAGCGTAGTGGTTAGGGCACTCGCCTCGCAAGCGAGAGACCTGGGTTTGATTCCCGGGCGGGTCAGGTCAGGGGGAAACCTTAGGCAAGTTTCCTTACTCCACACACGCACAGCCTCTGTTTACGCAGCAGTGAGTAGGAACCCGCTTGTTAGTCGATTGTCAGATCGTTTCTCGGGGTTATGATCCCTCCCAGAAAAATAATAATAATTTGGTCACTCACTCTACGACTGTTTGTGGGGACGTCGCTGTGCGCAATTGGCTGCTGCGTTTCACCCACAAAATACACAGTCACTATACTTTACAGTATATTCTGAGAAGCGCTTTGGGACATCTCGACTCCGTGACAAAGCGTCGTATCAAATGCAAGAGTTTTATTATTAGCAACGTGCATTTACACCGCGCCCCTCACGCAGGTTAGCGTCCCAGAGCGCTTGACAGTGGCGGAGGTGGGTGATCGTAAACACAGTGGGAACGGTCTTCAGGGACGCAGACAGACAAACAGACGCGCACCCACACACAGACAGACGGACAAAGTCATTCTCACATGCACATCTCCACAGCGCTCTCTCTCAGGGCTGCTCGGAGACCTGCTTACGGGGACAAAAAAGGGAAAAAAAAGAGAGAAATGTCTGTGTGTGTGTGTGGGGTGGGGGGGGGTGGGGGGTGACCAAAAAAAAAGCACAAACTGACTATTGTTCCACAGAATATTCTATGAACTGGCGATACAATGGACCCGCTATCCAATAGGCTTCCCTGGTGCCTGTGTTCAGTTCCTCTGAATACTAAGCAGGCTGGACTGAACAATACAGCTTTATCTACTGAAGGATCCTAGCCGAGACCCAGGCCCTAACAAGGCCCATACATTCTCTTGCAAACTCGTCTGTATGTCAATGCAAAAAGGTCTGAGAAGGGCGCACCAGCTCCCCACCCCCACCCCAGTCTCCCTCACTATCTCCGCGCTGCCCGCCCCCCACCATCAGATCTTCAGCTCCACGAGGGTAAGGGCGATGGAGGTAATAATAATAATAATAATAATAACAATAATAATAATGCTTGCATTTGATATAGCAAATTGATTCCTGGGCAGGGCGAAACGCTGGGCAAGTTTCCTTACTCCACGGGCACACACGCCTCTGTTGGCCGAGCAGTAAGTAGGAACCCGGTCGTTAGTCGATTGACGGATCGCTTTTCTGGGGGTAATAATCCCTTTTTTTAAAAAAAATGATAATTTGGTCACTCAATCTACGACTGTTTATGGGACACTGCTGTGGGCAATTGGCTGTCACATTTCGCCCATAAAACAGTCATCCCACTTTACAGTGTATCCCGTGAAGCGCTTTGAAACGTCTTGAAGACGCGATAAGACGCTATATCAAATGCAAGGGTTATTATTATTATTATAGCGCCTTATGAGACGTCTCAGGATAGACTGTGAAGCGTAGTGACTGTGTGTCTTGTGGGCGAAACGGGCAATACCCGGGACACGGCACTTGCCTTCAGCACATCTGCACTCGTAAGCGTTGGGCCGATCGATGCACTTGGCCCCATTTTGGCAGGGGGTGCTGGCACACTCGTCCACATCGCTCTGACACATCGATCCTGTGAAGCCTGGCAACAAACAGAGAAAGAGAGAGCGCGGGTTAGTGTGTCAGGGTTAAAGCCACCCCCCCACCCCCAACGCACAGCGCCTCCCCCTCCAGAGCCAACAATCCCCACAGATTGGCAAGCCCGGGATTGCCCTGCCTTGCGACTGGAAGGAGATGATATAAACCCCTTAGAGAAACGGCTGTTCATGCTGAGAAGGCAGTGAATTGACGACGACGACAACAACAAATTCCACTTGTACAGTGCCCAGTAGCGCTGGACAGTCAGGACCCGAGCTGGGAGTTAGGGTCAGGAGGGGTGGAGGTAGGAGGGTGTCCGAAGGCACGGTCATAGAGGAAGGTCTTTATTTAGACGGGATTTGAAGGAGGGAAGCGAGGGGCTGAGGTGGAGGGATTGCGGGATAGAGTTCCAGATTGATGCACTCGGGGTTTCATGGCAGATGAGAGAGAATAAGAAGCCTGGATGTGTGAACGTGTTTAAGAGTCAGTCTGGCTCAGTTGGCAACACTTTCACTTCCGTGTCAGAAGGCTGTGGGTTCAAGCCCCACGTCAGCTTCACGGTCTAGGCTGACGCTCCAGCGCAGGGCTGGGGGGAGGGAGGGGGCAGGGGGAATACTGCCAGAGGTGACATCCTTCAGATGCCCTCCCTGCTTCGCTAATAGTAATAGTAATAATAATAGTAATAATAATCATCCTTGCATTTGATACAGCGCCTTATCACGTCATTGAGTCATCTCAAAGCACTTCTCAAGATATAATTAATGTACAGTGTAGTGACTGCCTATTTTGTGGGCGAACGGCGGCAGCCAATTGCGCACAGCGACGTCCCACTAGTTGTGGATCGAGCGACCGATTTTATCTAAGAAGGAACCAGCTTCCAAATGAAGACTGAAATGAGGAACTTTCCCCCCAATTCATCTCACAAAATGGTCTCTCGGGCGAAAATTCGGGCCTCGGATCAACAACGGCAACAAATCACATTTATCCAGCGCCCTTCACGCGGGGTAACGGCCCGGATCGACAGTTTGCCTACAAGACACACAGTCACACTTGACGTTCGCCCATCACCCGTCCAGATTAACGTTAGAAAAAAAATAACATTCTGGTCGCCGAGACTCAAAGCAAAACTGTATTCAGAGATGAGGAAGTTCTCTCTCATTTTTCTCCCCCACCACCGCCACCCTCATCCTCACCCTCACCGCCACCCCCACCCCCCACCCACACACACCCACACGCACCCACCACCCCCTTCAATGTATTCCTGTGCCGGACTGTGACAATGCAGAGTGTGGCTGACTTGATTCTCTGTCGAGCCACACAATCCGAGCTGGTGCTCACGCTCTCTCTCTCTCTCTCTCTCTCTCTCTCTCTATGGTTGCATGTGAAACGCAGTAATCATGTGAGGTGGGGCCCCCTCTGTCTGCCCCAAATGTAAATTGGACCGAAAAGAATCGAGCCTTCCCTCTCATTAAGGGGCAGCTACTTCTCAGACAGAGGGGACCGAGGCCTTCAGGGAGAACAATCGCGGCATTGTGGTCCTAAAGGAGATAACAGACACGACCCCTTCTTGTCAATCAACCACCAACGGAGAGAGAGGCTCTTCAAAGCACCGGCTGAGATACGCTGCACCCTGACCTCTGTGTAACCTCCCTCCCTCCCTCGCTCCCGCCCGCCCGCCCGGCCGGCCGGCCGGCACAAGGGAAGTTTGCCGGGCCGAGGCCACCCGCTTCTCTCTCTCTCTCTCTCTCTCTCTCCCTCCGCAGTCAAGCAAACCAGGGGTCGGGCTACCGCACAGTGATGTCGGGGCTGTTTACTCAGTGCCCACAGATTTAAACCAAGGGACAAGTGATACATCATCCTTCCTCCTTCCTTCCTCCACCCCACCCCTCGACAGATATATATACCCCAATTCGCCCACAAAATGTACAGTCAGTTCACTTTACGGTATATCCTGTGAAGCGCTTTGAGACGTCTCGAAGACGTGATAAGGCACTGTGTCAAATGCGCGGATTATTATTAATTCCCCTCACACGTACACACACACATACCAGCCCCCCACCCAACACACATACGCACTAACCCAGCCCCCCCTACACATACCACATCAACCCCAAAGTGCAGCACAGATGCACCCCCCCCCCCCACCCACACATGCACCTCAAACCCACCCCCGCAGTAGCACCTGATACTGGTATTGCTCCCGACACAGAAGCTGTAACAAGAATAGGTGACATTTGCGCAGCGCCTTTCATTTCAAGAGGACGTCTTAAAGCACTGGACAGTCAAGGATTTGGACCCGAGCTGGTGGTTGGAATCAGGAGGGGTGGAGGGCGGGGAGGGTAGGGCGAGGAGGGTGACTGAAGGCACGGTCGAAGAGGAAGGTCTTGAGATGGGTCCTGAAGGAAGCAAGGGAGGGAGGAGGCGAGGCGGAGGGACTGTGGGTTGGAGGCAGAGAGGTTGAAGGCCCGTCCGCCCGCCAATGGCAACTCCTCGCTCACACACACACACACACACGTGTGCTGTGCATGGGTTTTGCAAGCGCTGATACGTGTGTGTGCGCGTGTGTGTGTGTGTGTGTGTGTGGGGAGGAGGCTGAGTAGCCGAGTTCCTCCTTACCAGACGGGCACTTGCAGATGAAGCCGTTGACAATGTCCGTGCACACTCCGCTGTTCACACACGGGTTGCTCTCACACTCGTCCATGTCGATCTCGCAGTAGGTCCCTGTGAAGCCTGCAAACGGGAAAACGGTCAGAGATGTTGGTCACACGGGAGGGAATGTGAACAAAATAATATGGTCATTCACTCCGCCACTGTTTGTGGGACACTGCTGTGCGCAATTAGCTGCCGCGTTTCGCCCACAAAGTACACTTGAAAATATATCAATTCACTTCACAGTATAGTCACACTTCACTGTGAAGCGCTGTGATACGCCAGTCGATATAATTAGCTTTTCAAATCAGGGTAAGCAGCCAGATAACTACTGATGCAGAAAGCTGTGTGTGTGTGTGTGTGTGTGTGAAACATAGAAACAGGAGTAAGCTATTCAGCCCCTCGAACCCGTTCCGCCATTCTATAAGATCATGGATGATCTGTACCTCAAGTCCACTTACCCGCCCTTGCCCCATCTCCCTTAATAACCTGACCTAACAAAACATCTATCTAACTGCGTCGCGATAATGTGAATAGCTCCAGCGTGGTGTGTGTGTGTGTGTGTGTCCAGCACCTTATCCCGTCTTCGAGAAGTGATACATAATCCCACCTGCACACCCACCGCCCCTGAACAGACACATGCACTCATATACGGGTGAGTGCGTGGTGCATGTGTGTATCTCTCTGTGTGTGTGTGTGTGTGTGTGTGTGCGTGTGGTGTGTGTGTATCCTTGCGTTTCTCTCTCTGTGTGTAGTAGAAACCTGAATTGGAGCATTTCGCTCACTCTCTACGGATTGCTGAGAAAATGGGGAGTGAGAGTGCCTCCCAACAGGGGTGTCCTCTTTCAAGCCTGAAGAAGCATTCACCAGCTTTGGCAGCTTTGTTGGCAGCCGCGCCTACAGGACTGGCAGTGAATGCCACAGAATAGTGCGCTTCAAAGGGAAAAATATGTATAGAGGGATAAGGGTCCCTTTTCTCTTCCACAGGAGTGCAATTGGAGTCGTAAGTGTCTTTGTTGCTCCCCCCACATCTCCCTGTCTGGCCTGACAGTAATGTAGGATGTGAGTGGCAGACCGCACTATACAGTACACTCTCACCACAACACAATGGACTATTTACACAGTAATGTTAAATGGATTCCAAACGATGGGATTAATTGGAGCTTCATTAAAATAGAATACATCACATCATTAACCTTTCCTCAGCATGTGCTCATGGGAACCGCATAAAAACGATATATACATCCTTGTATCTCTATAAACACATAAAAATATATGTTGGCTTGAACAGGGCTGCGCTCGAAACGTCTAAGGAATGGAGACAACTGAGGCGGTTTTAATTTCCTTCCAAAAAAAAATAATAATAAATTGGTCACTCAGTCCACCACTGTTTGTGGGACACCGCTGTGCACAATTGGCTGTGGTGCTTCGCCCATAAAACATGCAGTCAATTCACTTTACAGTGTATTCTGTGAAGCGTTTTGAGACGTCTCGAAGACGCGATTAGGCGCTGTATCAAATGCAGGGATTATTATTGTTTAACATGGGGCAGTGTACACTTTACATTGCATGTGGCATTAGCCGCGACTAAGGATGGTAAAGTGGGTGACTGTCCATCCAGTGGTCACTTTCCCAGAGATTGCTAAATGACTGGACACTAGCGTTGCGGATGTGTAGACAGGATTTCTGGATTTTTCATACAGTTAGCTGCTGGTCTCTCTGATCCTGTGAACACACCATCGCCCCCGCCCCAACCCCCCACTCCCCTTCCCCATCTCTTTAATGTAGAAAACATTCGGCAACTGAACTGACAAGAGAAGCCATAGGAGCCTTTCTCACAAAGTGGCACAGAGCCAAGGGTGTGTGACTCGCCCCATCTCCCCCAACTCTGTCCTTCCCTTCCCCTCCCAGACTCCTCATCAGCTGAGAGAGCACAAGTCTTTGAAGTTAGCTAAATAACAACAACAAAATGACATTTGTAAAGCAGCTTTCACGTTGGGAGGAAGTCCCAAGGCGCCAGACCCCATCTGGGAGTCGGGTTGGGGGAGGGTGGAGAGCAGGGTGGGGGAAGGAGGGTGATCGAAGGCACCGTCGAAGAGGAGGGTCTTGAGACAGGTCTTCGAAGGAGACAAGGGAGGGGGCGAGGTGGAGGGACTGTGGGATCTATTTCATATAATAGCTATTTTGTGAACTGTTTCGTATTATTTCAAACTGTTTCATAAAACAGTTAGTTGCTCACCTCAAACAATGGCTTAGCCAGGGTTACCCTGTGGCCTGGCTTAGCCAGGGTTACCCTGTGGCCTGGCTTAGCCAGGGTTACCCTGTGGCCTGGCTTAGCCAGGGTTACCCTGTGGCCTGGCTTAGCCCGGGTTACCCTGTGGCCTGGCTTAGCCAGGGTTACCCCGTGGCCTGGCTCCAAGTTAGAGCCCCACGTCAGGACTTTAAGAGTCTAGGTTATGGGTAGGGTAGGGGTTAAGGCAGAGTTAGGGTTGGGCTAATGGTTGGGTTAGGGCTACAGTGCTGGAACACACTGTCAGAAGCGCCGTCCTTTGGACGAGATGTTAATTTGAGGTTGTGTCGTGAGAACGTTAAAGACGACATGAGACAATTGGAAGAGGGACTCCCCCGGGGTCCCGACCCACAATATCCAGATATAACCAGTCATTCTCTCTCTGGGTGTTTGTGGGACATTGCCGTGTCCACCGACAAAAACACAGTCACTACACTGGACAGAAAAACACCCGAGAATCGAAACCCGGGTCCTCTTGCTTGCGAGGCGAGCGCTCTAACCACTGAGCTGCAGGACTCCGCCAGTGGAGCCGAGAGGGAGATCTTTAACGTCCACCTGAACAGCCAGACGGGTAGTGGGGCGAGGTTTAACGTCACAGCCGAAGGACGGCACCTACGTCAATGCAACACACACCCGCCCAGCGCTGCATTGAGTGCATCAGCTTAAGACTGTGTGGGTAACCAGGTCCCACTTGCGAGGTGAGTGAGCGAACCACCACACTGTAGGACGGCACTTGCCTGCAGTGGCCGACTTCTGATCAGCACTTCCGCTGTGTGGGGGTGGTGTGGGGGTAAACTGCAGCGTGTTGCGCATCGCTAGACGACCTGCTCACACAGGCCCTCAGTCACAGAGGGGAGGGAAGCAGAAATCCTCTCTGCACCATCTTCTTCTTAAACCAAAGGGCAATTTTTTTTAATATAGTTAAAAAAAACTTTCCCCAGGGAAAATTTAAATTCCACCGAACTGCGGCTTGGGCTGAAATGAATGCCGTAGGGAATATTCATTCTCCCAATATGTGGTGGGGCATCGAACAAAGAGGATTTCCTCAGTGAAAGGCTGGATTCGCTGCCTCCTGTACTGCACAGTGTATTAACATTCTGTCCACACATTCACTGTCTCGTTCCCACCTCCCCTTTGTCTCCAGGCAGAGCAGCTTTAAGGTCTGAAAGCCACCGTAAGGTGTTTGTTTTACGGGCTCTCGGCTTTTTAGGTTGGGAATCGGGGGCGGCGTGGAGAGCACCAGAGTCTCAGGGGAGTTTTTGTTTTTGTCGCTGGGCGTTTTAGCCGATTTTCAGAAATAATAACGATAATAATCCGTGCATTTGATACAGCCGTGATCACGTCTTCGAGACGTCTCAAAGCGCTTCACAGAAGACACTGTCAAGTGAATTGACTGTATTTTACGTAAGTGAAATGCGGCAGCCAATTGCGCACAGTAGCGTCCCGCAAATAGTCACGGATTGAGCGACCAATTTATTATTATTATTTTTTTGGAAAGGATCTTTACCCCCGGAAAAGCAATCTGCCAATCGACTAACAACCGGGTTCCTACTTACTGTTAGGTAAACAGAGGCGTGTGTGTTTGTGTGTGGAGTAAGGAAACTTGCCCAACGTTTTGCCCTACCTGCCTGGGAATCGAACCCAGGTCCTCTCGCCTGCGACCGACCCGAGTACAGGACTACACGAGTTTAGTGCTGTTACCTGGCATACAGATGCAGGTGAACTCCCCGATATGGTCCAGACAGGTGGCATCGTTCTGGCAGGGCATGGACAGGCACTCGTTGATGTCGGTCTCGCAGCGCGGGCCTGTGTAACCCTTCCCGCACTGGCACTGGAATGAGCCGTCGGTGTTCACACACTTCCCAAAGTGTTCGCACGGATTGGCGCCTGGGAGCAAGGAACGAAATAACCAGTTACACTCAGACACCAGCACTGCCTGTACCCGGACGCTAAACCGGTGATGGATTTCAAGATCCTCTCATTCGTCTACAAATCCCTTCACGCCCTGGCACCTTCCTACCTCTCCCACCTGCTTTCTACCCCACTCCGCTACCCACTGCCTCCGCTCGGTCTCCCGCTTGTACCTTGTCCCCTCCGCTCCAGCGTCGGCAGCCGCGCTTTCAGCCGCTACGCCCAGAAACTCTGGAACGCTCTCACTCAAGCCCTCCGCCTCGCCCCCCCCTCCCCACTCCTTCCCCTCTTTGACCTTTCTCTGCGATCACACTTATGGCCACTTCCTCCCTCACTCCCTCCCTGTACTTGGCAACACACCTCCATCAAGTCCTCCTCCATCGCCTCTCTTTATCAAGTGGAAACAGCCTCGAAAGCCCTATAAGACTCACTTGGTGGGGGGGGGGGGGGCGGGGCGGACTAGCAACAACAACAACAACAACTTGCACCCTTCACTTGGGGTAAGCCGACCTCTCACCTATCGAGCACTCGTCCACGTCCTGGTTGCACGCGGGTCCTGTGAAGCCCGATGGGCAGGTGCAAATGGCCTGCCCGGTGACGGGGTTGGTGTCGCAGATGGCGTCCTCGTGGCACGGGTTGCTGACGCAAGCGTCGTCTAGATGGCACAGCAAACCTGCGGGCGGACACGGGGACAGCGGGCGAGGGGTGAGGGTAGGAAATAACTCAGCAGCGTCAACAAAAGAACATCAACAAGGCCTCAAAGTGCTTGACGGGGGAAATCGCTCTTACCCCAACCTCCCAACCCTTACCCTGGCACCCAATTCACTAAATCCAGCTCATCCAAAAACTGGCCCCGTTTTCGGCCACTACTTCCCGAAACTCTGGAATGCTCTTTCTCTATTTTATCCCTCCGTCATGGCCCCTTTCCTTCCCCATTTTCAGGTCGCACCTTCGAGCGTGTGCGTATGGGTAGGAGTAAGGAAACTTGCCTAAGCTTTTGCCCCAAATGGAAATTGAACCCAGGTCCTCTCGCTTGCGAGACGATCGCGCTAACCACTACTCTGCTGCTGCTGTCGTTACCTGTTTTCCCAACGCGGCATTCGCAGAAGAAGGCGGCCACTCGGTCGTGACAGGTGGCTCCGTTGAAGCAAACGGCCATGGCACAGTCGTCAATGTTCTCGTTGCAGTCATCCCCGGTCCAGCCGTTGACGCACACGCAGGTGTGGCCCCCCATGGTGTTGAAGCAGGTCCCTCCGTTGTGACAAGCGTTGGGCTGCAGGTGGCATTCGTCAACGTCCTCTGTGCAAAATTGACCTGCGTGGAGAACGCAGTTTCACCCACAAAATACACAGTCAACTCACTTCACAGTGTATCCCGTGAAGCACTTTGAGACATCTCAAAGACATCAAAATCAAGGACCATTATTATCATTCTTGATGGTCAAAAGTTATAATATTAGGTCCAAATCCCCGACTATCCATCCAGCGCTTTGGGACGTCCTCCCTCCCTGCCCTCCAACCCTCCCGCTCCCAACCTCCACTCCCACCCCCAGCTTGGGTCCAAATCCCTGACTGTTCAGCGCCTTGGGACATCCTCCTGAAAGGCGCTGTGCAAGTGTCGTTATTTGTTGTTGCTGTTACAAGCTGCCGCCTCACATTGGGACTTGTCTTGGCGACGCTCTTGCGGGTTCCGGCTATGGCCAGGGGGAAGAGGTTGAGAGTCTAACCTGTCCACTCGGGGGTACACTGGCAGTTGTAAGTGTTGACACCATCCACACACGTTCCTCCGTTCATGCACTTATGTCCGGGGCAGTCGTTGATGTTGACCTCACAGTTCTGCCCCTCGAAACCTGATGGGAAGAAAAATAATAAATCTTATTACAATAATAATCCTTCACGTCTTCGAGACGCCTCAAAGCGCTTCACAGGGTACACTGTAACGTGTGGTGACTGTGTATTCTTGTGGGTGAAAGGGGAATGAGTTTGCTGAATCCCAACTCGATCGTACTGAGGTGTACAAGACCAAGATAGTGGGATAGGCAAAGGTCACGATCTTGTAGGGTGAATACAACAGTGAGAGGCAGAGCAGAAATCTTGTTGAGCAGCTCACAAGCCCTGAGTCTTCTGTATGAAGAATTTGTTTTCAAACCTCTTCATGCCCTCCCCCCTCTCTACGTTTCCGACTTGCTGACCTCCCACTCCACCACCCACTGCCTCCGTTCGGCTGGCTCCGGCCTCCTGTTCGTCCCTCTCCCTCTCCGCTCCACCATCGGTGTCTGTGCTTTACAGCCACTATGCCCCGAAGCTCTGAAACTCCCTCCCATAATCTCTCCACCTCGCCTCCTCCCTCCTTACTTTCAAATCCCGCCTAAGGACCTTCCTTTTTATCGTGCTTAAGGTCACCTCCTTCCTCCCTCCCTCTGCCCCAGCTCGAGGTCAGACTCTGCCACTGTCAAGTGCCCAGGGACCCTACCCCGCGTGAAGGGTGCTGTGTAAATGCAAGTAAATGATGGCTCTCAGCTCAACTCAGCTCAACGTTTCCCAAGTGGGAAAGAGAAGGGAGTTTCTCCCTCTCTCCTGGCCAACAAGCCTCCAGATAAAGTGGCCATTCGCTTCAGGCTTGTGTAACCTTGAGGTACACAAATCGGCTGCTGCGTTTTGCCTGCAAACAGACAGTCACTACACTTGACAGCCACAGCGAGTGAAGCACTTTCGAGAGGTTTCAAAATCAGAGGCACTGAGTGAAATAAAGGTTATCCCGTTGTTCATTCCTAAATCAATTCACTTTAGAGTGTATCCTGTGAAGCCCTTTGAAACGTGTCAACAACGTGATAAGGCGCTATATCAAATTCAAGGATACTTATTATTATATTAAGTATCTTCACTCTCCTCATAAACCCGTCTCATAGCCCATTGCCTACTCCCACCTCTTCCTTATATAGGACGCGTGATATATTGCAATGCATTCTGAGCTCAGGGCCATTCGGTCAGTGTAAAGCTATATATCAGTGGAAGCTGGTGAGAGGGTTATAGAAAGTGTGGGGTTAGAGACGGGCTTTGTGTACTCCCTCCTCTGTCACGGCTGCTGTTTTCAGTGTGTGGGGGCCTCTTGCGAGCAGAGCCAGTGATTAATTCAGTGCCGTTGAAGTGAAATGCTTCCAATTGCTTCCTGTCCCATAGAAAACTGTTTCCTGCCAAGACCCGTGGGTCTGAAAAGAAGCTGACATCTCACATAAATATCTTCACACGGTTTATTCACAGAGCTGTGGCGGGCTGCCAGGTACCAAGGCTTGTTTTTCTTGATCTTATTATTCCGGAGCCACTCTGACCCCATGCACGACCTCTGTACTAGACAAGCGCCTACGACACTCTGACCTCGCCAACAAAGTAACGCACACTCAGATCGCCGTCACGACCTGCTCGGTCCATTTAGAACGAGGGTGTGCTGTGCGGATCGGGAAACGCAGTGGAAGCAGAAAACGTCATTTGTTTTAAGGACAAATTCGATCGATTTCTGCTGGAAAATAATATCTTGGGATACAGCGGATAGTTTGGGACACGACATGTCGAGTAACTGCCAGGATGGTGGAAGCCGAAGTAGATGGATCTTGGTCGTCTTTCGCCAGCAAATTCTTATGTTATGTTCTTACATCACTTGGGACGTCCGCCCGACGTGAAAGGCGTCGTGAAATGCAATGTGTTGTCGTTGCTGTTCAGGGAGTCACCCACTCACCTGGTAAGCAGGCACACTCGTACGTCAGGTCTCCAGTCTGTCGGCAGGTGCCCCCGTTGCGGCACTGCGAAGGGGCGCAGGGGATGTAGACGCTCTCGCACAGCTGCCCGGTGAAGCCGGCCTGGCACTGGCAGAGGAAGGAGCCGGGCGTGTTGAGGCAGGTGCCCCTGTTGTGGCAGCGATCGGCACTCTTGCACTCGTCGATGTCGGTGCGGCAGTGCTTGCCGCTGTAGCCCGGAGGGCAGGAGCAGTTGTAGCGAGTGTTCCAGTTGGCACAGCGAGCCCCGTTGGCGCAGGGGTTGGTGGCACAGGCGTCGATCTGGGAACAGTTTGCTCCTGCGGGCGAGGAAACAACAAGTCAGGCCAGCAACAAAACAGTTTAGAAAAAACAGAGCTACTTGGGGTCCTCTCGCTCGTTTTTAAATCACTTTATTCCCTCTCCGACTTGCTTACCTCCCACCGCGCCCCCACCCCCCACCCACAAGTCCACCACCTCCGCTCGCCACAGACCCAGACCCGCTCGCTCTCACCTCTGAATCCTCGGGTGCAGCTACAGGTGTACTGCACTGTCCCGTTGACCACCGAGTTCCGGCAAGTCCCTCCGTTGAGACATGGTGACCGCTGGCAGGGGTCCGGGAACTGGCAACGCTCCCCCAGGTAGCCCGTCCGACACCTGCACACACAGCAATTTAGCGGGTAGACAGTGAACGAGAGGGTCTCACAGATAACCAACGCAATTAGAGTCGCTTTTACCCACAAGGGTTTAATGTCTTTCAAAATGATATGCCATACACAATAATAATCCTGCCATTTGATGTACTAATAATCCTTGAATTGGATACACCTCCTTCTCACGTTTTCGAGACGCCTCAATGCGCTTCACAGAATAGCGCAAAGCGTAGGGACTGTGTATTCTGCGGGCGAAACGCGGCAGACATCCCGCAAACATTGTTATTGTCCCCTGAACACACAGTGGAGGACTTAATTCTTATTCGAATGATAGCACCCCCAATATCAAAGGACAGCGCTCCTCTTCTCCTACCCACCCCGGTTTGAACCCACAACCTTCAGACCCATAAGCCAGGACGCTGCCAACTGAACCAGGTTGACATGTAGCAAGGAATTTCACTTGGAAGTCAATCCAGTAAGGTTTAAAGCACTGAACAGAACTGGTGGAACAAAGCTATAGAACTCTCTCCCTCAATCCCTCCGCCTCGTCCCCTTCCTTTCCCTCTTTTAAATCATGACTGAAGACCTTCCTCTTCGACTGTGCTTAAGCGTCACCTCCTCCCTTCCCTCCACCCCGAAATCAGTCTCCTCCACTGTTAAGCGCTCCGGGACGCTACACTGCGTGAAGGGCGCTGTGTAAATGCAAGTTTGTGTTGGTAAATTCTCGACTGGGTATTTTTGTGTGGAAGGATGGGGAGAGCCTTCAAATAATAACAGGACATTGAGTCCTGCAGCTCAGCGGTGAGAGCACTCGCCTCACAAGCCAGAAGACCTGGGTTCGATTCCCGGGACAGGGCGAAGCATTGGGCAAGTTTCCTTACTCCAGACACACACCTGTTTACCTCGCAGTAAGTAGGAACCTGGCTGTCGCTTGGCAAGATTGCTTTCCATGGGGTAATAATCCCTTTTCGATAAATAAATCAATAAAATAATAATAATTTGGTCACTCAATCCACGACTGTTTGAGGGACGCTGCTGTGCGCAACTGACTGCCGCATTTCACCCACAAAGCAGTGACTACACTTTACGGTCACTTCCTCTCCCCCCCCCCCCCCCCGCCGCCCCCACTCCCCGGCATCAGTCTTCGCCACTTTACAGTCTATCCTGTGAAGGGCTTTGAGACGCCTCGAAAGATGTGATGAAGTGCTGTATCAAACCCAAGGATTATTATTATTTATTATTATAATAAAAGCCAGTTATAAATCAAGGCGGGGGAGCCGTGGGGGAGGAGGGGGTTTGAGTTTACGAAGCTGTCTTGCATTTGAGCTCCTACAGCTTGTTCCCATCAGCTGGGCCCTGAGTCTGGGAAGAACTTGACTGCGAGGCCTCCTCAGGGCAAGAAGAAGATTTTCCCACACTGTCTGCTCCCTCATCAGCAGAGCCCCCGACCCTCCACCCAGCCAGCTGTGTCCCTTCATCTCTCCTCGGCACCGACCTCTTCCTCCGACTTGAGTCACAACACTGTGAAGTCGCCCCAAAGTTTCACAACCCTCTTTTTCTCGTTCTTGCGCTTTCTATTTCAACCGATTCCCTCCCGGGATCTCCCTCGCGACCAAAATAATAACAACCATAACAATAAATCGGTCACTTCAATCCACGACTGTTTGCGGGGACGCTGCTGTGCGCGATTGGCTGCTGCGTTTCGCTCCCAAAACACACAGTCAATTCACTTTACTGTGTATCCTGCGAAGCGTTTTGAGACGTTTCGAAGACGTGATGAGGCGCCGTATCAAATGCACGGATTATTATTAATTATTATAAATCAAACTCGGACCTGTGACTCTCTCTGTCGAGAATCTGAGCTGGGGCAGGTCGACAACAGCGGCAGCAAATGACATTTACACAGCGCCTTTCATGTCGGGAGGCGCTGGACAGTCAGGTATCCGCATCCGAGCTGGTGGTTGGACTCAGGAGGGGTGGAGAGTGGGTGGGGTGGGGGGGGGTAGGCGTAGGAGGGTGACCGAAGGCACAGTTGGTCGAAGAAGAGGGTCGTGCCTTGAAGAAGGCGAGGGAGAAGGGCTCTTTGTGTGCTCTTTCGCTCGCCGGGGCAGTGAATTGATAAGTTCCTAGGGCACCAAAGCGAACCTGAGGAGGCTTTAGTTACAGAAAATAAATACGGCTTGTAGAGTGCCAGACGGCAGGTGGTGTCTGCAGCTGTATTTAATGCAGGGGGCCTGAAAGCAGCGGCTAATCCCACCCTCGGAGTGGCGTAGGTGGGGGAGGGGGAGGTAGCTCTCTATACCACAGGGGGCATCGCTTAAGATTGTCACAGATGTGCTGTGTTTTCTCTAGTTTGGTTCACTGGCAACTGGCTGTTACGTGAGTTTTCATTGCTGCGTTGAGGGGAAGAGCGTATGCGACTGCAGTCACGCACTGTTAGTCACAATAATAATCCTTGCATTTGATATAGTGCCTTATTACATTGTTGAGACAACAACAAATTACATTTACACAGCACCTTTCACGTTGGGAGGACATCCCAAAGCACTGGATGGACAGTTAGGGATTTGGACCGACCTGGGGGTTGGGATCAGGAGGGGCGGAGGGCGGGGAAGTTGGGGGTAGGAGGATGGTCCAAGGTGCAGTGGACGCGGAGGGTCTTGAGTCGGGCCTTGATGGAGGCAAGGGAGGGGGTGAAGCGGAGGGACTGCGGGATGGATGTTCCAAAGGGTGCGGGCAGAGAGGCGGAAGGTCCGACAGGCGATGGGGGGGACATGGAGCGGGCTGTGGTAGCTCCCCCACGTCGGTGAAGGGGGTCAGTTTCCACAGGAGGTCTTGGTCTCAGTGATTTACAGTTCAGAGACAGGTGGAGCTTGTCGTAACCAGAAACAGAGAAGTCTTCTAATACACCGTGCAACCATCTCAGCACTTGTAGCTTTGACGGATACACTGTACAGTGTAGCACTGACTGATCCCGAGAACACAGAACTGTGCAGTTACCGTGGTTTTCTTTGGAGCAAGTTAAAGTTTTTTTTGGCGTAAAGAGCCAGGTCACATTTCACTGGCACTTGAGCAGGACACAGTTCACAGAAAACGTACACGCATCAGCCCACTGGCCTCGCGCCCGCCTCACTCTGCCTCGAGTAAGAGAAGGGGGTGTGGGTGGGGGTGTGTGGGATGAGGAAAAAGCCGTCTCTGCAGTTTGGCGAATCTGCTAATCTCCCCCTTCGCTGTGCAAGAAGCCCATGAGCTTTCCACCTGATGTCAGAATTCACAGCTTGGTTTCCGACAAGGCCGCTGGGCAGAGAGAATTTGGCAGAATTGTAATCCACAGGAAACATAAAACCAGCCGAGAGAGAGACACAGAGACAGAGACACAAAGAGAGAGACTGAGAGAGGGAGACACAGAGAGAGAGACAGAAACACAAAGAGAGAGAGAGACACAAAGAGCGAGAGATACACAAGAGAGAGAGAGACAGAGAGAAACAGACACACAGAGGAAGAGACACACACAGAAAGAGAGAGAGAGAGAGAAAGTAGTGTGTCAGCCTGGCTTCCAATCCCATTTACACTCTGGCCTGCGCTCTGTCGGGAGATGTCTTTGATGGTTTGATCAATGATTAAAGTTTTAGCAAACAAGCAAACACGGAGGAGTGTGAGGAGAGGAGGGCAGGGAGGGACCAGGGAGCACCATGTGAGGATTAGAGGCTAATCAATGCCTCTGAGTGATACAAACCCAACAGACAGGGGCGAGACAGGGCGGGTTCAGCCTCTGTGGCAACTGCATTGATCCAAAAAATCAGAACAACACTGCCAGCCTTCACGTTAGCATAATAATAATCCTTGCATTTGATACAGCGCCTTATTACGTCTTAAAGGTATCTCGAAGCGCTTCACGGAGCATAGCATACAGCAAAGTGTAATTGACTGTATGTTTTGTGGGCGAAACGCGGCAGCCGATTGTGCACAGCAGTGTCCCACGAGCAGTCATGGAATGAATCTCCCAAGGATCAGGGGGGAAATTCCTAGCGTTGCAATGAGACAGACGCCTTGTCTCACTCGCTGGCTGCCTGGGGGTGGGGTGGGGGGGGGGTGGTGCTGGCTGGCTGGCTGACTGCAAAATATTGTGCTCAATTTCACGGTGCATCCTCGGTTTTGCCTTGTCGTAAGCACGAAACAATGCCGTGGGGATGGGGGCACAGGTGGGTGCCTATAATCTGTGAACATACCCACCCTGTGAGGTGGCATGGCGAGCTCCTTATCACAACCAACCCACAGACAAGCAAGGGCACGCGCGTACATCTCTAGATAAAATAATAATCATCCTTGTGTTTGATATAGCCCCTCATCACAAAACATGCAGTCCATTCACTTCACAGTGCATCCCGTGAAGCGCTTGGAGACGCCTCGAAGACGTGATAAGGCGCTGTATCAAAAGCAAGGATTGTTACTGCTGCTATTAGCACGTCATCGAGACGTCTCAAAGTGCTTCACAGGATGCAAAGTGGAGTGACTGTATTTCGCGGCAGCCTACCGCGCAGGTTCCCGCCAAACAGCGGTGGATTGAGTGACCAAATTATCATTTACGGTTTGTGCGGCGACGGCGATCAGAAGCCGAAACATCTGGATTCGGTGAGTCTCTTTAGAAATAAGAGAGATTTTCAGCTGAGAAAAAAAACATTCCATTCTCCTCCCACCGCCCCCCCCCACCCCGCCCCCCCCACCATCCCCTCCCTCCGGCTAATGGGATTGCTTTTGTTGGGGGAAAGAGAAGGGGTTGGTGGGGAGGGGGCAGCAGGAGAACATTTATACAGTGGCTTTTTTTTTAAAAAAAGAGAGAAAGTGAAAAATGATTGTAAATGATTAACGATGGCAGAGAGGGAGCTCCCTTTTGTTGCTTCCCGGTGACTATTTTGCTCCTTTTGTCTTCCCCCAATGGACACAAGAATTAAGACTAAAACACGCCATTGTGGGCCGTGAAAGGGGGTCGCGGGGTCAGGCCGC